AGTTTACGAAAAAGATAAAAATAACAATCTTTTATAGACCCACTTCGATTTCTTAAGATTTACAACACCTTAATTACTCAATATATATTTTTTTCAATTTCAGAAGAGGCTGCTATTGATCTGTTGTTAAAGAAAGCTTTCGGGAAAGAGTTTAAAATAGAAAACGAAAGTGACTTAGTAGTTAAGTTAAATTTGAACAATGTTGTATAATTTAATAATTTATTAAGTTTGAAACCCTTACAATAATATTGTTATTCTTGTACACATGCATAATTAATTTAAATAAATGCTCATATTGCGTGTTTTTAACTGAGTGGTGTTTTTTAGACATTCGTTTTCGTCTTCAACTTGTTATACGTACGTTTCGTAGAAAAGAAATCTAGTGAATGCAAACGCATATTGTCTGCAAAAATGGCTTTGCCACCCGAGAGCACATCGGCTACGCTCTCCTAAGCAAAAGTCATTGGAGCTGATATAGTGAATATCTCCGTACATTTTTTCACATGATATAAAGTATATCACATATACTTTATATCGTGTGAAGGTCCACGGTTAATCTATTATAACATGCAATAAAGAATTAAAAAAATTCCATGACCTGGTGCGTTTCCAAATCTACAACTTCATATACACATCACACCTGGGGGTCTACTCTTATTCTACGAAAAACGAACTTTCGATCGAAACTTCGCGTGTTTCCTACCACAGTTTCAATTCGTTCCGAAATATCGTTCGAACGAAATTTTTTGACATTTAGAACCTACTCTAATCCTTATTAGCTCCGAACGAACTTTTGAATTTGACAGACGATTTTTCGGATTTTTAACTTCAAATTGACGAAACCAAAAGTGTTACCTTTTAATTTTCGTTTAGTGTGGATTTTGTATGAAAATTGTTTGAAATGGCTACAAGAATGCTTTAAATCGAAGCTCTTTTACGTGAAGAACGTGTAGAGCGTAGAAGGAACAACCGGCGCTACCTACGCAATCTACTTAATATACCTAAGTCAAATTCTCGACTTAGAGTTTGTAGGACAGTCGCCTATTATTTTGGGAACTACGAGAAACTAACTTTTAGAAAAGTTTTCAAACAAAAACTCATAAGTTGTATGTTATTGTTATGATATGTTTGCATGTAGGTACTCTGATTATTCAGAACGTGTTAGTTAGTTGGAAGGGGTAAAGAAACCAATTGCTGCGCTCGTCGCGGCACAAATATGTAAAAATGGGGAAGTAAATAAAATAACACTTTTGAAAAAAATACTGAGTTTTATTTCCTATGGTTCTGCACTTATAAAACAAAAAATTAAAAAAAATATTAGGTATCATTTTAAATTTCAATTTTCTATTAGAACAGATATAACAAGGAGTATCATTTTAAACAACTTATTAGCATTTTATATAACATTAAAGCAATATCATTACTGTAACACATCCAAGTATATTAATTTAATATAAAAAAAACATTATTTACCAAATAATGCTCAAAATAAAAATATCACACATTGCCATCCCAGTTACATACATTTGTAATTGAACATGAGTGTAATATGAATGGCTTTGTTTTAATTCTATTACATTTTTTTAAAAATTGTTTTAATTAACATTGCATACATTTTTATCTAATTCAACGACAGGTTTCTTTTCAAATGTAAATAATTGGACATTTAGCTTCGACTCGCTTTGTCACACAATTTTCTTCCACCACTACACAGTCAATATTAACGCACAGCCATATCATTATTCACATTAGTTCTTTGTTCTTCCACATCCCTCACATGTTCTTCTAACACCAATTTTACCTTTTAGCACAGTCTGGGGTTGGAAAATTATTGTGTGTTTATAACACTCAAATCCTGTTCTTTTAATAATATCCATTTTTATACAATTCAATATATACAATTCAATAAAATTCCTTTCACCACATATATTTATTGTCTTTTATAGTATATTTTATTAACTCGTACATTGATAAAAATAAACAATCTGTTGACATTAATTTTTTGACACATGTCGTGCACGGTCCCAATACAGCCATTTTTGGTCGTCATACATAACAACCCTTTCTTGGCATAAAATAGTACTCTTTAAATTAGTCGGTTATAAATGTCTGAAAAAGGTTTTTTATAAAGTAACGATGATAAATTACACGATAAATTACAATTCCGTCAAAAATAAATATATTTTTATTTTCTGCGTGGCATATTATAAGTAATAGTTTTACAAACCACATATATAATGTGGAATTTAAAGAAACAGCCAGAGAATTTGTAATTTTAACTTTAAGTAAAAACCGTAATTTACCACAAATCACATTATAAAGAACCTACACAATTACATTCGTTCACGAAAATTATCTCTGGATCGAACTTCGTATGCGTGTCCGAAAATAAAACAGAGTAGGGTCGTCAACGTTCTTTCGTTCGAGTTTCGTTCGTTTCCGAAAGTTTCGTTTCGAAGAAAGAGAGTAGACCCCCAGATCCGGAAAATATGCGATATTAAACAGCAGCCAGTTGCCTAGCCTCTGCTCCAACCGTACTGTTTTGCTATAACTATAATATTGCTATATATTTCAAAAACTAATGAAGTTCTGTGCACATCAGTGACAGTCACTATTTGTACCAATCCACCAATATATTTTATTAATTAAAGTCATTTAATAGGTAAGGGATTGAAATAAAATAGTATAGTTAGTATTAATTTTAATTATAATATTCACACTCTATTTTCCACACTAAAATATATTAAATGACTGATGCTTATAAGGTTATGTTTAATTAAGAATGACTAGAAAAAAACCAGGAGCTAGAAAGATACATACGTACTTATTACCAATTTTAACTTGTTATCCAAACTCCAGTGATGACAGCATTTTGAACATTTGCGTTCTAATAATATAAATATTACTTACAGAATATTTTTATATAATCTTTACAAGACACATCAAAATACATCAAAATCCAAAATATCAAGAATATTTTTAGATAAACATCACATCGATTAAATATCACAATTGTATAAGTACATAACATTAATATCTTATTAATTTGATTAATAATTTTAATATTTCACCACTAACATATGAAAATACATAGATATAAAAAAAATTGTAATATTATATCTGAAGTGAATTATTTACTTCAGAGATTATATATTTTTTTATAATATTTAATTGAGTAGTAACTTTTTGTATTCGTATATAGGTACCAAACTAAGTACATATAAAAAACGCCAGGGCCAAATTAACATATTCATTCTTGTTTGTTATTGTCCAGAAACTTAAAATCTTTTAAATTTAGAAAAGTAGAGGCGAAATTCGGGAAAGGGTTGTCGGGAGGGAGTTGTCGTTAGGAAGGTTATTGCCCCTTTGTGTAGCAGGAATCAGCAGGATGTTATGATTTGGTTTCCTTGCTAGTTGCAAAACTGTAGGTATCAAATGTTAAGCTGTGCAAAATTATGCATTTACTTAAGTAATCACTGCAAGCAACCTTTGTTAAGGTTAAGAATGTGCCTATATCTTTATTATGTGGTTACCATTACCATATCTATATTTATATACCTACTTACTAATTGATTATGTTAATAATTATAATGAGGAAAAGTTTGTATGTTTGTTTTGAATTCAAGTCTCCGATAATTGAAATAATCTTTCGCTATTGAAAAACAACACTATCCCCAGTGAACTTAAGCTATTAACTACGACATAGTATAATAATATAGTTAGTAAAACCGCGGGGCACAGCTAGTCTACAATAAAAAATGCTCATTTAAAAACGCATTTTCTGTGTCGTTATAATTTATATTACTTTGCAAGCTCGTAACACTTGAGTAGTTTATTAGTCGTTGCATACAGAATAGCGCGTCTTTATGTATGAAAATTACAAGTATGCACGGCCCGCATCAAAGGTATGGTGGCTTTTGGAATGAAAGTTAAAATCTTAACGAGTTACTAAGATTTTACCTTTGCAGAACAGACATAAAATGGTTTTAAAAACCATTACATTTATAGAATATTCTCATAAGGATTTTGTAATCATGTTATATTGCTATTACAAAACCATAAGGAGCGCGGTTCCTTCCGAAAAGTTAATAGCAATCATTTCCTAATTTGTGTCAAATGCATTTTAAAATTGGACTTGAGGCAGCTATAATTTTATTTTTGGATTTTTTTTATTGCGACATCACAAATACTTAACTGCTAGTTTATATTAGATAGGTTATGAATTATGGTAGGAATCATTCAAGAATGTAACTTAGAATTTGATTTGTTTTTTGTGTATACAAAGGTATATTACGGCAACTAAACTACTATTACTCGTAGTCTATGGTGAATTTACAATGGTTTCACCAGATTCCAGAGCCTCAGCTGGTTGGCAGGAGAACACTTGATTGTAGAAGTAATACTGTAGTGTACTGGATGAGTAGACAATACATCTACCTGTAGCGTCGGGCCCGTGGCCGGGCCCTGTAGGTGAAGCTCTTAGTAGCCTTCGGAGCAGCAGAGCCGGGCTGAAATAAACAATTAAATTTTAGGCTGTTACTATCTTGACGTTATCGTATCCCTAATGTATCACGTACCTAATATAATATATGTTATCTCGGCATTTGCAATAAGTATGCAAAATGTAACGGGCTTATATTTATTCTTGTTATTTATAATCACCATAAACATTGAACAGTAATTAATTACTTATGAATTCTTACTTTAATAAAACTATAACACGTAGTTCTGAACTGTTCATGGATTACAAGATCAATACCGAAGTATAAAATAAATTAAAACTACCGTTCTACATCTAGGTACAGTAGGTTCCTGTAAATAAAATTAAAATCGATATGTAGTGGGTGTGTTCACTCAATTCGGTACACGGTTCAGAATGTATACGGTTCTTTATTATGTTATTTTCGATCCTATTTGTATGTACCTGCATTCTTACAAATAAAATCTTACCTATTCTATTCTATTCGGTACATCATAGTCTGTCCAGATAGGCAGACAGCTGAACAGTTGCAAACGGATTGACGATCAAGATAAGTAGGCACACGATTTTATTCCTATTTCCCTCTCATCATGCACGCGATTAATACTATGCTGTGTACGACACGATGTCCGGTGTAGTGTATTTCAGAGAGCCGTTAAGCTCTCTCACTACTTCACAGGATTCCTAATTTTACTGTAAAACTGGGTGAGCATTGAATAGAACGCTGAGCCTGTGAGTAATATTATCCACAGGCTCAGCATTGAACATCCATAATTATGTGCTAAAATAAGCATAGATATGCGATATATTACTAAAGATATCAAAAAAGATAACAGTTGGAACTGTCCCCCAAATTGAAAAACTTTTAAGGCAAATAAGATATACAAAAATTAGAAAACTCTGATCACTATACTGAAACATATATAAGTATCTACTTATCTGATTCAAACGAATTTACGTAAATTTTGTACTACTTAATTACATCGTTTTTTCAAGTCAGTAACAGGTGTAAGTCATTATATATTTAAAACATTCAGTGCCACCGATTTGCCCAAAGAGTCCACGTAAATATTCCAGCGCCATGGACTCGCCTGGCGAGTTCAACGTAGAGTACGAGAAATTGGCGGCATCCGAGATACCATTGTAAAAATCGTAGTGGTAATGAATGTGTTAAGAGAGATTAGTACACTATAAAGTTACGCATGTAACATACGCGTGCATATTTGTATATTCGTACAAACTGTACAAACTTACATGAACCCTTACCTTTAATTTACGAGAGAGGCATTTATATCTTAAGGGCAGAGTTGTAAATAAAAGATAATTGTGAGTCAGTATTTTAGTTTTATTCATGTCAAAAATATTATTACACTTTATTCACTAATAGGTATATGTAGGTACCAGTTACCCACAACAAACAACAACGCACCAAACTGAGAAGCAACACTGCGAGCTGAATAAAATATTACTAATATTAAATTTACTTAATTAACAGCTACAGTGCACTCCAACAAGCAAGCTCAGTCTAGAAAAATAGTTTTCTATGTCATCCAACAGTAAGTAAATATCACAGTTACACTGATTACACGGACGGGATCTCACTTCCTAGATGCGCCACGCGGTGCAAGCTATACGTTAGGCATGGGCCTCATTCATTTCAGTCGTGATATAGGTACAACACACTACATCGTAATTCGGATGACCAACAAATATTAACCTTCGGATTCTTTATCGAAAAGTATCTCATGGTCATTTTGGTATGTCAGTCACAAACTGGTTAGTTTTCATTTTCAATGAATAAGGAACAAAACCAGATTTTAGCCTCAACATGTTTATTTGCACCTTACTTAACTTGTGTGAAGAAATTCAAAACCCGTCAACAGTTGGAAAACTGAATATTCGGGGTTTCGAATTTCTTCAGATGTGTTTCAGAAACCACCAATCCAACTGATTGACAAAATATATTCTCTGTATTCCAAATATTAAATGAGCCTTCTTTTTTCATCCTCATTTTTCAATCACGGATATCTTCCATCTTAAGTCATTGCAAGTAACATGAATCAAATCGTTTAATAATAATACATACATGATAAATTTGCATGAAGTCACTTTAAAGAATTCAGAATTTTTCACAGATTTGCTGTCATATCCTCCTTTATTAAAATAATATCTATACTGGCTTGTCTCTTAAAACCACTCCTCTTGCCTTGATGTATTCCACAAACACCAATAGGTAATATCTACTTACATAATATAACGAGTAAATTAGAAATTTAATTTAGTTCAATCAATAATTTGTTAACAAAAATATAAGATATAAAAGGGATAGAATGGGGATTTTGTTCAACAATATTAAATCTATCTGCAAATCGCCAATAACATTTTCTAAATATTCAATTTAACCGCTGCTTCGTCCACGCAGTCTCTGCGGATTACACACATTACCTCGCTTAGCTTAAAATAATAATAATTAATAGTTCATTCTGCCCACCCGTGTCCGCCACTGTTTGTGGTTTGTCTCATATTGAATTTAATGCAAATTATTATCAGTAATTATACACTTTCCTCAGCTCCATGTAATTTCAGTTAGTTATGTTGCGAACTTGTAATACCAAGATTCGATTTCGATCATTCTTTATTTTTAAATGTTTGTAACATTTTGCTTCTCGAATATTAATTTATATTTGCCTTGTTTGTTCGTCCTGGGATAGTCAAACATGTGTTCATTCGCTTTTCATTAATGTAATCGACTTTAAGTCTTTTTTTGTGGAATAGATGTGTTGAAATTCCTTCAACGCTCTTTTTAAATCTTTAGGTATGGCGTTTCCAATTCAATCGTCATTTTTGACTAGATCTTAAAGGCAAGGTCAAATACCCAATCAGGTAAAAACCTGAAATGCAACATCACTAAGGAACTTGATTTATGTAGTGTATGTGTACCTACAGGTCATTGCTTGTATTATGCAACTCATGTGTCATTTCCCAACCAAAAATTGAAGACCTTTGTCTTATTTTTCAATTTAGTTCAACAATTAGCTCATAAATGTGAACCTAAACAGAATGTATGCTGTGGTGGCGCGGGTGAGACACTTAGGCTACGGCTACACTCAAACGCAAAGATTCGTGTTTGCGATGAAACTTTGTGTTCGATTCAGTGTATTCTTGAAGTTGATTCATGAGAGGACGAATTCTTTGGTCAGATGTATAGTGTAAGGTACTAGCACTAGACGCGCAGCGCCCGCTTGCGCGGAGAGTGCAGAGCCCTCGGGGCGCGCGCGCGGCGACGCGACGAGCGCGGCGTGTCGGGCTCGGGCGGCGCGCTGCGCGTTACCAAGTTGCGCACGTTGCCCAGTCGGGGCTCCATGCCGATAGACTCCTGGAACCACTTCACTTGCTTCATCAGCTCCCTATCGTCTTCGAACACCTCTTCGATCTGTTTACGAAATAAGAACATTAACAAATGTTAGCATAGCTTGAAATTAGTTGAGTCATGCCAAACATTTACGTGATTCAGCCGTTAAACATAACCAATCATGCATAATATTCACTGTTACAGAATAAGTTCAAAGGAAAAACGTACTGTTAAAAATGTTGCTGAACACATTATTGTAACGGAAAAATTGTAAGTTAGCTGCTATCGTAAATAATAACAATAATTACCTCCGATTCATAGTCTTTTACGAGATCAGTTGATAGTTGTAACAGATATGTAGTTAGTTGCCCTCCGCGCGATTTCATACGTGAGTATAACTTTATCACTGCCGGTACTAATACTTCAGCTACTGTCATCTTCATTTTCTGTAACATTCCGTTTAATTATTAATGTTAAGTAGATCTTGAAAAGCCCGGTATTCTAAACGGTTTTTAAAACACTAAAAGCCTACCCGTGACACGATGTTAGTAGTTACTCTTTCTTGCAACTCCTCGAGGTTATTGCTCGCTTTTGATGGCTTCTCTGTAAAAAAAATGCTTTTAGTAAAAACACATAAATGATAAATAGCTGAACTAATTTTGCCTGATTTGAACTTGATATTCGTAAAATTCCAGGTTAAATTAGGTCAAACTACAGAAACCAAGAAATTTTGAAAAAACTTTCAATGTGTAACTGGTATTTCACAAAAGGTATAAGGCAACAAAAATGGCATATTAGCTAATTGTGAGGTAGAAGTATTTTTTCTCCTTATTTGGTGTGGTGTGAATTGATTAATATTTCAATATATTTACTGGGTAGTTTCAGCCTGGGCCCGCAGAGCAGAGTAATGGTATCAAGAAGAGCTGCGTTCATTTCGGGAGACAGTTCATCATCTTCATCCATAAGGTCCACGGCGTGCTCTAATACTTCGCGCGCCAACCGACACTGGATGTTGAACCTTTGCACCATGGACAAACGCTGCAGCATCACGTCGTAGATCAACTGACGGGAGTCAAAACTAATACGATCTGCGAAATAATAGTATTTTAACTGTAGCCCAATCAGCCACTAAACAATAGGTGTGCGATAAAAAATAACAAAAAAGAGTTTAGCAGCCATTTACCCAGTCAAGAGCGTACATGGTTATGCTAGAATTCCGTAATTTTTCATCTTCCATGTCAGGACACGGAACGGTATCATTCATCCCGATCCCTTTAACCTTAACACCGCAATTCAGCGATAAGTAGCAAAAGTACAGTGCCATATCTTAGGGAATTGGGTTACTAATTTATACAAACACGGCGGGTAATGTATCTATGTTTTAGCAGTCATTATGTATTGCGTAAACCGATTTTAATTTTATTTTTAATTTGAAAGAAGCAACGCCCTGAACAAAATATTACAAACAAATTTAATGCTTGTGAAAAAATGTTATGCATATTATTATTTAGCCTTGGAACATTGTTTCGCACAAGTGTTTTGAAGGTCGATCGGTATTCGATCTGCGGAAGATACCTACACATATTTTTTATGGATATGCGATTACCTTTTTCATCGTGGTTGTAATGTAGGAGGCAATCAACAAAGTGATGGTAAATTGTGTCAGTAGTAAGACCACAGGACACGTAGTACTCGGCTGGTTCACGTACGTCGACATCTTCATCCGCCAACAAGGCGCAATATCTGAAAAAAAAATGGTTCGAATTGGGCACCTAAAACTTAAATTTTTGGAGTCTCTTATAGACTATTCAATAAATTGAAACAATTGCAAAGTATTTTTAGATTTTCTACACGAATGGTACCACGAATGTTTCGGCTCGAACGGAGTGATAACACGGCCTCGCAAAAAACAGGTGTAAAACAACTACAGCGTCGTGTTTCGCCGTGTGAGTGAGGTTACCGGAGGCCCAATCCCTCTTTCCTATTCCTTTCCAATCCCTAATAACCTAAACCCTTATCCCTAAAAGGCGGGCATCGTACTTGTAACTCCTTTGGGGTATCCATGGGCGGCGATGATTGCTTACCGTCAGGTAATCCGAATGCTCGTTTGCCGACTTATAAGTATGTACCATAAAAATGGTGATTTTGAAGTATAATTTACATACAAATGCAATTCGCTAACACACACAAGATAAGTAGTTGAACAAATAATGACATAGAATAAATATTCGCTGAGTTCGTTAACCGAGGCACACGTGTAGTTTCATTATTTAAATACTCAAGTTTGAATAATACATATTTCTTAACTTGTGCATACATTCAACATTTAAAAGTGGGAATTGGTCACTGACACCTATTCGTTTAGTTTAATTTATTATCACCATTTATCGACATCCTATTCATTTATTTATGTTACATAACATACGTAATTACTTAGCGAGATAACTCGACTAATTTCAAGCCATGCTAGGGACCTATATCCTATTCATTGCGGGTTCAGAAGCTGTAGGACGAGCCCAATATTATACAACTCTTAAAATATTGATACATAGATGGCAGACTATACCCACGATGATTTTATGAGTAGCGTAAGTGGAGGTTTTTAGAAAGATAATAAATCACGAGTGTCAGACCTGCAAAAGTTGTTATATACTTACTTTTATAAACTTACATTATGTGTGAACCATTATTCTATTTTTGTAAAGTTTTTAAGAGTATTAAAGTATGGGAATTCTACAAATTGGAGATTATTATTTTAATTTTAGACGTAAATAACAGTTAAACTTACCTATAGTACAAAGGAGTACGGAGACGTAAATATTCGCCCAACAAGAGGCGGGTTAATTCACGCGCCGCTCTCCGACGTAACTGGACAGGGGACTCCTTGGACAGGCAGTCACACATAGTGCCAAGTAGCGGCTCTACTATGCACGTGTACCTGATGAGATAAATTTCAATATAGCATACAAGAAATTTAAATACGCCGAAATTAAATGCTTGGCACTATATTTATTTATTGAAGCCACTCAGGTGTGGTTTCACCCGCAGCCCTTTGATAGTAGTGTGACTTTTTATAGCTTATGGCACTCAGGAACATTGTAGCTATACATATATCAGTGAAAGAATTTTCGGAATTCGACCAGCGGTTCCAAAGATTACCACCTACCTACATACAAACTTAAAAGTGTTACCTCTTTAAAAAGGATATAAATCATTATATAAAAGAGTCGTGTTAGTTACACTATTTATAACTCAAGAACGGCTGAACCGATTTAGCTGAAACTTGGTAGGGAGGTAGCTAAGAACTGGGAGAAGGACATAGGATAGAAAGAAAGAAACAAAGGGTAAGGTAGAGTAGGGTACTGTAGATAATGTAGGCTATGTCGGTAGTTAAGGTAGGGTAATTAGTGTAGTGTAGGGTAGGTAGCATAGAGTAAGTAAGGTAGGGTAGGTAGTGTAGGGTAGGTAGTGTAGAGTAGGTAGAGTAGGGTAGGTAGTGTAGAGTAGGTAGAGTAGGGTAGGTAGAGTAGGGTAAGTAAAGTAGGATAGGTAGTGTAAGGTAGGTAGAGTAGGGTAGATAGAGTAGGGTAGCTAGAGTACGGTAGGTGGAGTAGGGTAGGCAGAGTAGGGTAGATAGTGTAGGGTAGGTAGGTAGTAGGTAGGGTATTGTAGATATTTAAATGTAACATGTAATTTCTTCTATAAAATACTATAGCTATGTGCTCAGTTGTAGTATGTAAAATCCGTAATATTTAAATATGTAATTTTAGTAATCTTAACTGGATATTGTTTGACAAGGGCACGGACCCCGAGTCCGTGGAGATTATAAATGATCAATTATAAAAAAAGAGTAGGGGTAGAGTATGGTAGGTAGTCAAATGACGGGAGCGACGCCGCGGGTAAGAGCTAGTAAGTAATACATATAAAAGAAAGTTGTGTTAGTTACACTATTTATAACTCAAGAACGGCTGAACCGATTTGGGTAAATTTGGTAGGGAGGTAGCTAAAAGCTGGGAGAAGGACAGGATACAAAGAAAGAAAGGATAAGGAAGAGTAGGTAAGGTAGGTAGGTAGTGTAGGGTAGGTAGGTAAGGCAGATTGTATAGTGTAACGTGTAGGTAGGTAACTAGAATAGGTAGTGTAGAGGTATTTAAATGACAGAAACGGAACCGTAAGAGCTAGTATTAGTATATATGAAGGTATACCTGGCGCATATATCACTGAGCGCGACGAGGGAGTTGATGCGGACGGCGAGCGACTCGTTGCTGCGCGCCAGCAGTAGTGCGAAGGTGGGCGCCGCCGCCTCCGCCGCAGTGCGCGAGCGCACACACAGCCGCGCCGCGCCCGCCACGCACGCTCCGCTCTGCTCCTCCTCCCACTCTGCACACACCCCACATTTCACTAAGAATCCCAATCACCACTCTGCTTCTTTTTTTTCATGTCATATTTCGGCAAACTAGCAGACGGAGAGTAAGCAATCAGAGCCGCCCATGGACACTTGCAATACCAAAGGAGTAACTACGGGTGCGTTGCCGGCCTCTCGTGGGTTGTTAGGGATTAACGGATAGGGGATTTGAGAATAGAGGATGAGGAGGGTGGGAGTGAGATTGTGCCTCCGGTAACCTCACTCACACGACCAAATACAATGTAAGTATTGCTTCACGCCGATTTTCTGTGAGGCCGTGGTATCACTCCGGTCAAGCTGGCCCATTCGTGCTGATGCATTGCTCTCCCACATTTTAACTCCTACGCTCCTACTCTGCACAAACCGCTACTAGGTGACTTTAAGTCTCTCTAACAGACTAGAAGTAAGGGACCACAGCTTTGTACCATACACCTTTGATTGTACCGCACTAATAACGGATGCACCGCTCATATACACACATTGCCTAGCACGCTCGTAAGTACGAATACGTAAGCAATTATGCACGCACACACGACACGCACGCACGCACGTTTTTACGTATAGGTACTTTATAATTTAATAAATTAATAAAACAAACTCATAGTTACCAGGAAGCGCATCGTTGATAGCATGGAGAAAGACTTGCAGCAGTCCGGGCGAGGGTGGCACGGGAGCCACCAGGGACAAGTCAGCCGCACGAAGCGCCTCACTCACATCGCCATCCAACATAGCGCGTTGTTCCGCTGTATAGACAAAACGTTACTTTGAGTGAGCGAAGGAATTTAAAGACAAACATTAGCTCTATGGACTGTGGACCAATTTAATACAAACTTCAACATTATTTTGCATGTAACTCAACATCTCTAGGTAATTGTAAAAATAAAAATCTTATTTCCCCTTGTAGGTATTATACAATAGTAGGTGTTATTACATCGTAATTACGTAAAAGTTCTAAAGCTATCATTTATAAAGAAAAAACACTCACACATCTGCATCATTTCTGCAGCCCATATCAAGTTTTCGGGATCTAGATGAGCTGCCAATTGAGCACGCAATATTCGGCATCCTAGAATAATCATTGATCAGAGAAACCACTGTTAGTCCTTTTAACTGCGGCGCAAAATCATACAATTCTGCAATATTCTGAATGGTTGTTATAACATATTATGAATCTTGGCGATATACAAAGAGGTACTGTTTATTTTAAACGGTTTAGTTAAAGCACGTACCATCATCTTGAGCTTCAACAAGGCGGCGCACGATGTGATGACGTAGCGAGGTTCGATCTTCTGATGGCAAAAACCGAGACCACAAGCTTAACAGTTCCAGAGTTTGTGACATCAGACGCACGTCTTGAAGCTAGGTAATAAGATGCACACACATAACAATATTAGTACACACACACACATAACAGTATTAGCTTACAATTATATTTTCAAATAAAACCAAAAGATTACCTCTTCCATTTCAATCAGTCTGTAATAGTAATCTAGTACAAAGCCAACGTCTGAGTAGTCTACATGCCGCGCCAAGCTTGTTAGAAGTAACAGACACTGCAAATCACGCTCGTTGTTTTCTGCACCCAAGTGAGTGCTTAATATGTCCACAAGACGATGGCTGCCAAATAAATAACATTTATCAATAATTTTACGTTTAATTTCCAAGATAAATTAATGAAGACTGAGGGCTTCACATATGCTTATGTTAACACGGCGTTAAATCGCGGATTTAAATACAGTTACTAAATATTATATCTACACTAAGAAAGGACACTAAAATATAATTCTTAATTAACGTCATTACTATTACTAATTACAATAGGTTTTTCAAGCAATCATTTATCTGCCTCGCAATTTGCTGCTGCTTTATGTGAGATCTGAATTCGTAACATTCTGCGATATAAATGATTACGTGAGTTTTAAGAAAGACTAATATAAAATGGCAGATGTTTATTATAATCACCTGCTAACGACACTTTTCATTTCTTACGGTAAATTCAATCGCCAGCTTTTAGCATGCACATAACTTTTAGCCTGTGAAAATGTAACTTTTAAGAAAAAGATAATAAAATTATTGTTATTAGAAAGATCTGACTATTTGGTTGATTGGCGCCAATGTTGAGGAGTTTCAATGGATTTCAGATTGAATTTTTGCAGTCAATCAAGTTTTCGCTATATTTTCAAATTTCGAATTATGTACTTGGAATCTGATTAATAGGAACATCTTTATTTATTACTCAGTATTTGTTACTATCAATGGTGGTGGATGGATGGTGAGATGTTATGTTCTGTTAAAATATAAAAAAATTGGTTTCTTACTTGAGACATTTCCTAAATTTAGATAGCAGAACACAGACTTTTTGCAAGTGCATCTTCATCTTTTGTTGCACCATTCCCCCGAGGATCATCCAAGGCAATGGATCACATCCTGACTTTGTGAACTTTCTTAGTCTATCAATCATGACGTTTTCAATAAGAACCAACACTTGTTCTTGTACCTATGAAAGGAAAATATGTATCAAATGATCAAGATCATTAAATAGTTCTATAGAAAAAAAAATACGATAAAAATTGCTCTAAGAAACTAAAGAGTTTGGGACCCTTGTACTTAGTTGTTTTTTATTTAGTAATGAGCAGGCGTTAGACCGCAATCGATGGAGCACGCTCATACTACTCATAATACTCATAAGCAACCTAACCTACGTTATGGCAGATAATATATATAATAGCTTTTAATTTAAAATGCGTTCATAACATTGTAAAATATGAAGTTAGTCTTCTTTAGTCTCATATTGTTTTTACCTTACTCTCTGGGTCGCTGACTTGATGCACGGGTCCTGTGAGAAAAGCCTCAATAACTGATTCACTCGGCTTAACGGTCACTAGTTCGCCAAGGGAATTAATGGCAGCCTGTCTAACAATTAAACTTGCATCTCGGCACAGGCTCACTAACACCTGCAAATTCAAATAATTAATAACTGCTTTTTATCACATGACATGACACATCAGTCTTGTGTGCGTTATAAAAACATACATGTTTACCGTATTTTTGTTTATATTATTGTTAATTTTTTCGTCCACGTTGCGGTATTCAGCTGTTATAGAGCTGCAATATTATACATACGTACATTTGGAACGACATTTTTGTTTGATATTGAATCATTTATTAGTATGAAACGTTTTAGTCAATTTTCTTACGATACGAGGAGACAAATTAGTTTAGACAAGGTTTAGCGGTATAATAAGTAGTATTGGAACCAACTTGGACGATAGTCAATTTCCAAAGGTGATCCAAAATATGAAACGTTTATAGCCTAGTACTATATAAATATATTTTTATTATAAAGCTGAATACTTATATTACAAAGCTGAAGGAATGTTTGTTTGTTTGAACGTGTTGCTAACCTTCGGAACTTCTGGTTCAAATTAAACAACTCTTTTTTGTTTTTTATTCCTATTATAGAGGAAGGCTATAGGCTATAAAACAACGCGCTACGATCTGTAGGAGCAGAGCAGCGAGTAAAACTGCGCGAGAGTAGCTAGTTTTTCATATATTAGTTGAGGTTGAGTACTAACGGCGAGGTCGGAGGCGCGCGGCGCGGCGTGGGGCGGGTCCAGCAGTAGCTGCAGCATGAGGCCGGCGCCCGCCTTGCGCACGGCGGCGCGCTCGTCGCACACCGCGCGCGCCGCCACCGCCGTCAGTCGCGACACCTCGCCCTCGCCCTGCAGCATCTACCAACAAATATTGCTGAGCCTTCCTTCATTCCTGATCTATTCAGCCAAGAGCCGTGGTAGCCCGGAGGTTAATACGGGCGTTTTAACCTCCTTCTCTTCTTCTTCACATGTATAAGGACCCAAGCCTGTGGAGGGGTTCCAAACCTGGCAAGCACCAATGTGACTTTTTCCGAGTTAAATGTACTTTCTATGATTATTTTGACACCGCATACATACGGTGAATTAAAACATCGTGAGAAAACCTAGACTTATAATTTCTAATTATAAACTTGAAATCGCCAATGCGCCTTAAGCAAGCGTGGTGATTAATGCTCAAACCTTCTCTATGTAAGAAGAGGCCTTTGCTTAGCAGTGGGAACTTATAAGCTCACGATGATGTTGATGAGACCTTGCAAAGTAGGCAACATACTCATGTGACACAAAAAAAATAATGTATGTGTTAGTTTCAAAAATAAGCGTTAAATTACCTTGACGGCATCAATCACCGGCTGACGTTTACTTTTAAGGCAATCATTTAGGATGGCAATAGCACGCGTGCGCAGCGTGCCCGACTCGTCGTGCACTCGTTCGTACAGAGCGCTCAATACCTCCATGTGGGGAATTATATGTTTGCGTGCACGTAGGATGATGTTACTATCATTCAGTTCGTCATCTATCTCTTGCTAAAATTGAGAAATAAAATTAGTAATTAATCATTTTATCATGATAGGTACTCGTTTTTAATTTAAAGATGAATTAGGTAACATACAATTTCGCCAGATTCTTGGCTGCACTGACTATTATCATCTGTGATAATAAATGTTTCGGGTGTGTTTTGTTTACTTTTGTTATTTTTGGTGTTTTCTACTGTTGAATAAGGTGCAGTACTTGTGCTTGGCTGTGGTTCCCTATTAGGATCTTCAGCAACTAAAACATGACAACATTGTAACATTTTACAGACGCAGGTTAAACTTATTTATGATTTAAATAAATTATTCATTAAAACATGAGTGGTTTTTCGTTACATTATTTTAATTTGTACAATATTAAGAGAGCTTATAATAACGTGTCAGGAATATGTACTTTACCTGGCGAAACAACATTGTTTTCAATTGGCGCTTCTGTAGGGCCAGAATCATCATGATCACTTGCTAACAACTTAGCTAGTATCTCCTGAAAAATAAAGTTAAGTAAATTAATACGACAAAACTATGATATGACATAAAGTAATATATCAATTAATTGACATCATGTTGATACGAACTACTGCTAGCTGTCGATGTGGTAATTTCGAGTTCTTCGATAGTTGAAGTATCCATTTCGTTACTTTTTTATAAGATGACCGAGATAAGACAGTCATCATGCCAGTAACTAATTCAGCGCGATTTTCACGAACATCTGTTTTTTCCTGTAATATTTTATATTTTAGTAACTGTTTTAAAAGTATTTAGGTAAGAGAAACGGGATCAAGTCATAAATCATAGTAACTACTGAACCGAATTGGTACTTTGTACCTACTTGGTATTTATACGGCACCTATTGAGTGTTAATACATATATCAAGCCTACCTTGGAATTATATAGGAATAATTTATTTCCGAATATTTAGTCCTCAGAGTCGAGTTTTAAGCGCTTGGTGTTTGAGGGGGAAAATTCGTGTCAGGCTGAATAAAAACCACCCCATTCCTACGCCTGTTCTAGGCCGAATCCAAGGTCCCTTATTGCGCTTGACCCGCAATATTGATGGGCCCCTATTATAGTGGTCTGTGAATAGTGGTTTGGACTCTTTTGAGGTGTACGCTGAACGCTACGCGCCATGCGCTCTGGTCTAACCCTAGTCGGAGCGGCGAGCTAACCTTGCTCGCCGTCCGTAGACTTGGGCAACGGTGGCCGGAGTTCGTCACGTAGTCCCGGAGCTCCGGAGCGCCCGACGCTCGGAGTGTCACCTACTGCGGCGTCTGGGTCTTAAAGAGGATAGCTCCCTCGCGCGCTCCACCTCTTTCTTTGCGAGCAATAAAAACACTGCATCGCAGAAAAAGGACACGGATCTCCCGTTCATTTCGCTCCGCACCATTGCCTCGACTAAGGCCAAACGCGAGAGGTCGCCGTCGTCGGACACTTCCGTGAGGATAAGGCGGTGCTGCAAATCCCGACTTGTTTATCCTCGAGTTACAATACTATGACCATTTTCTAATGAACAGCCATTCGTGATTTGTACGACAAAATAAAATAGGTATATTTGTCTCTCTAAAAATTTTTCAATTATTGTGTAACTAACTTTTTAGTATATCAGTCCCAAGTTTCATTTAAATAGGTTCATTAGTTTCCATGATTTTTGACGATTATAATATAAACCTTTGAGGAAGCAATACAAAGTAACAAAATAAACAGCTTACAAAAAAAAGTATTTATGCAAGTTATATTAATTATGTTTTATTGTATTTTAACTGAGATACTTACCAAACCATCTAGAGTGTAACACAGATGTTCTAAAAGAATTGTATAACTAGATAATGCTGGTTGGGCATAATTAGCCATTATGTAAAATGTATAAGTCACATAAGCTGGTCGAATATGTTGTTTCTGAAATCAATATTTTTATTTAGAATTTTAATTTTTAACATTAGGCCTGATGATGCAAACCCAAAGGGATTATTCTAGGTTCTGTCTGTGGCTTCACCCATTAACAGGTAAAAAATGCCCATGTGTTATTCCAGATAATAATCAAAATCCTTATATAAAAAAATATTGAAATCCATAAATATATAATTAGAATTATGTATAAAATGGTTCAACTTCAACATCTTCAGGGTCTGCAACAATCTTGCAGACATTTTGTACATAATGGTAGACTTGTATACTGCATATTAAGAATCTGACTTAATACAATGCAGAGAACAACATATTTAATAAATATGAACTTACATTAATACTGCGATTGTCCATGCATGAAGCAACAAGCTTAGGAAGTATGCATTTGAAAAGCACCCTAAGAGCTATCTCATGTTGCTTTATTTTCGACTTGCAGAGCAAAACATCTATTATGTGGTAAATATTCTTAGATATTGTTGATATTAATATCTTATCTGAAATTTAAATAAAATTAGGTATTGCACAACTGATGATGTTAATAATAATCAACTCCCAACAACTTACCAACATGTAATTTTGTAACAAAACCATAGGCTGTTGTTTCAACACAATTGCTCAGAATTTCTTCAAAATGCATATCATGAGGAGTTAGTTGTAAATCTTCTATAATCAATTTTAAGTCATTAGCTAACTCAACTAAATTATTTAAAACAGAGTTTATTTCTCGAGTTAGTTCTGATGGGGTGAAATTAGTTTCCTCATCACTCATAGTCACTGGAAAACTAAGGCATGTCAGTGATTGAACAAATAGTTGTGAGTGATAAATATTGTATGATTTGTACCCTGGAATTCTCAACAACTTAAAGTAGAGCCGAGATGCTAATAAAGCGTTTAACCTATATTCTCTGGTACAGACATTTTTGCATCCATAATCAATATAATAGCCAATAAGTGCTAATAATTTTATATGATCAATTGTTTGACTTAAATACGCCCATGATTTGTCTTCTGTTTCTGCTTCCAGCCATGATTCCAGTGCTGTTATTATATCCAAAAAAGTTGTTTCCAATTCTAAAGACTCGATAGCATTCTCATATTCTGGCGGCAAATCATCAATCTCCAGATATTCACTTTGGGAAACGGCCTTAGCCCATCCGTAATCCAAGCTCTCCAAACGTAAATTTTGTAAGTTATTTACGAGATCCATCATTTATTACAAATCGTATACTATTCCACTTAGCAATAGTTTTTGTTGTACCACAACATCAACTCATAACATAACAAACACATGATGTTGAGTGAAGTGATATAAACTTTGTAATTTGACTTTTTGACTGGCTTGATCATAGAGTAGAGACCGCTTGCTTGATTTTATTGAAGGGATGGACTTGGTGGCATAGACCATAGTGTAAGTTTCTAACATAGTATGCTGTACGCTACAAATTGTATGTATTTAATGGTATTTAGTCACTATTTATAAAGTTGTATGTAAGTTAAAGTCTTATTACACTAAAGAAAAGATCCATGGTTAAAGCGCAGATTTTATTATGGTTTATGGACATTGTATTCCTTTGTCATTGTCAAAGAATGACAATTCAGGATCCTGAATTGTCAACGACACAGGACAAAATTTAGGTTACGATTTAATGAATTGAGTTATCGAGTAATATTATAATTATATTAATAATGACCACACGTAAACCAATAAACTGGTTTTTGACAGAAAAGGGTAGAACGTTTTCCTTTGCCTTAATTACAGGCACGGGAATTGCATGTACCGTGGCTCGTTATGGACCACATACATTTTTCTTGGAAAAGTATAAACATTTTGTACACCATTACAGGTATAGTACAGTATAATGATGTAGAATAACGAAATTGTAATGTTATAAAACTATAAAAGTTATAGGCATTATGTATACTTTGATTATTTATAGCAATGGGCAGCCGGCACCTTTAGCCAAAGAACTTCGTGACCGGTATTCGAAATGCTTGGACATCCTCAATATTTCTGATGTTCAACGTAAATTAATTGTGCCGTTCAGTGTCTTTGGATATGATTTATTTCACGCTGGTAAGATTTGGGAATATTAATATTTTTAGATATAACAATTTAGTGATTAGGTATACATAAAAAACATAAAACATTAGGAGAAAAGGAGATTACATTTTTTTATTACTACTCTCAAACAAAATTTCACTTGTAGTCTTGCAATAAGAACATCTTCGGGCTATCACTACAAATTTTATACTTTCTAACCATTATAAAACTTAATATATAATAATATAAACCACCCAGACCCAAAACAACACTTTGTGGGTCATTTAATCTTGTTCTATGAGGGAATCTAATCTGGGACATATTGCACAGCAGCCAGTCTGTTTAAATATAATAGTAATGTCTTTATTTCTGTTGTTTCAGGCAGTACAAACTCAAGGTTTGGAGTAGCCATTGGTATACCAGTGAACTTCAAATATAAAACCCTGGCTGATTTAGAAGCTGAAGATATTAAGGTGTTTATTTTATTCACTGATATATTTCACATAACCAAGCAATTTTATTGGTAACAAGTAATGTGGAAACTATTAAATAATAAAAAAAATGTAAAAAAGTCTGTCTCTATTCCAGGTAAATCAGAAGAAAGTAAATTGGGAATCGGAAACTGGCAGAAAGTTGGCAGATGCTTTAATATTACCTGAAAAAGTACAAGAATTTGCCATTTGTAGAGAAATAATGATGACACAGAATAATAAAATAATATACGAATCAGCATACCCATTTACATGCTTGTTTTTTGCTTACAATCTGTCTCAATTTCTCAATAGAAAGTTAAATCTATATGCTGGCCCCCCTGCATTAAGAGGCATATTATATACCATAATAGGATTGTTTGCATCAGGCACATACTTTCTTATGAAGGACATGACTGAGATTTATTATGAAACACAGACTGACCATAGATTATGTGAACTGGGTCCTACATTTGTTGAAAGTGGCAAAATATTTTATGAAAAAATATTAAATCGAAATCAAGCACTCCGTGAATTAATGGGAAAGGAAGGTGAGAGTAAATATAGCAAACTTGGAAATGAAAACTTTGGCATACGCCAACCGCGAATAGCATTAGTACACAGAAAACAATTTTTTGAACAGAAACTTAATGAGTTAAATAGTAAAAGTACAGATGATGCTAATGATGATGAACTATTATAATAACATTGTAAATATTAGTTTAGTTGTTTGTTATAATTTAATAGTAGAAAAATATAAATAACATTAAAATGTGTTTTTTTTTTCTTGACTGTTTTTTATTCCTGTCTGGTTTTGGTAAATAACGAGCTTTCTACTTCAGAAGGCATTTGCAATAGCTTTTAACCCGAAAGAAGAATATTATGTAAATCTATATAAAAAATCATATCTAATTTTTTTTTATATCGTCTTCATTTATCAAGTATCATCCAATAACTAGCTCAATCGTATAAGTACTAGATTTTTAGCAAATTGGGTGTTTTTTATTACAAATTTTAGAAATAATTCTTTGGCCCTACAAAATTACATATAGTTTTATGTCCTGACAGCAACAACTTGGGTGAGCTTTCAAATCGCGCAATTTCGCGCCCTGAAAAATCGTGCCGCGACAAATGCGTCTGAAATGTTCGGGACGCGAAAATCTAGCGATTATCGCGATCCGTACGAAGCGATGGTGCGCAGCAGTCGCTGACGCTGTCATTTCTTGTTGGCTTCGGACACAAGCGCGCACCGGAACGGCGTAGGAAAGCCGTGTCCGAATGTAGGCTAGGCCGAGCTTCGCAGGGAGTAGCAACGCTGAGTCGGGTACCGGGCAGTGGGCGCAAGAGGCAACGCGCCGCGCGCGCCTGAGCAGGTGCCTGCAGCACGTGGGGCGTATGGAGAGCGACAGCGAGCGGTCGATCGTGACGCGCCAGGTATTTAACGTTCAGCGTCCACTGCAAGCGACATCGCCGGCTGCGCAGTCCTCGACGGTGGCCGTGATATCGGTCGCGAACTTGCAGATGGCGGGTGTGCCGCGCCAGGGTATCGATGGTAACGAGAGAGCCGCCTTTTCACGCAGGATGGGTGAGCTGCTGGTGATGTCGACGATATTTATATACGAACAAGGGTTCGTATCGCGAGCAAAGCCGCGCCCTGCGAGCCACGCAGCCCGCGTGTCGGCATGGGTCAAACTCATACCTAACGGCGTGGGATATGATCTAGATGTACAATTGTAAATATGGTGATAAGTACCTAGCGTAAAAAAGTAAACCAAATTCTGAAATGCGCATCTCAACGGAGTACCTCAACAAAGAGTATGTAACCACTACGTTTATACCTCAAGAAGAACCTCCTCGTAGGGCGAAGCATAATAGTATCTCCAACTTGAAAAAAAAAATATAGTCTAACTATAGTAACTTTAAATAAAGTTAACGTATAAAATAGGCTTTTATTGCGTCACGACACCACGACCCGATTAAATTATTGAATTTGAATATTCTGCACAATACATATTTATACTGTATATCACCTGCAGACTCCCATACATCTTCCTACAAAAGACGTCTACCGTCCTACATGTTACTTTTTATTGCTACGGAACGAAATTTGCACGTGACGCCTCTCTAGATTAAACGATGCTGTCAAATGTCAGTTAGTGACATTAAATTGATTATTCCTAGATGATTCCCAGTCCTTCGCTTCTTGTGTCAGACAGAATACTCAGAATGAAACACAGTTTTACAGAATTTACAGTCATTGTCATTTCGTAAAGATAATGCTCTTGTTCTAATGATTCGTGCCGTATTTCCTTGAGTATCAAGCTTTCGTTAGTGAATGAAATACTATTAATGTAGGAGTGTTCATCTATTTTTTAATATAATAATATTGAAGAACTGAGTGGGAGCTTAGTGCTCTTTATGATTATTGACTAAGTTCAACATCTGTGTTAGGGTTTTCCAACAGTTAATAGCAGTTTATATATAAGAAAAGTGCGCAGTATTCAATCTAACTTATTGAATATTGTGGTAAAGTTGTAATTTGTGTAAATAAATTTGGGAATAAATGTATTAGTTGGTTTTGTCTAAGTGACTGGCGTCAAAATGTGCGGAGGATTCACTTGTTCAAAGAATGCATTGATTGCATTAAATATTCTTTATGTGGTAAGACATTAATAAAATCTTATTATAGTATTATTACTCAGATTTTTGGTATTCTGAGTTTTCATGTATAATTTACGTTACATACGTAATTTATTTATTAGGTGGTGGCTAGCATTCTGATATCAGTGGCAGTGTATGGGCAGGCATCGTCACTGGTCACCAACCTGCCAATAGTTGGTGGTATCCTGGCATGTGGTGTATTCCTCATACTGATTTCCCTGTTGGGGCTTCTTGGAGCAGTTAAACATCACCAAGTTATGCTGTTTTTTGTATCCTTTTTAAATGAGCATAGTGACAATTTTATATTAATTCACTTTATTTCAAAATATGTGTTGGTTTCATAATTGTCATTACTGTATCTCTACCTTCTGAAGGTTTTGTTCATTTCTTTGTGTATACATGCCTTTTAGAAAGTAATTGTTGCAGTGCTGTATATCAAGGCTTTTGTATACATTGTTCTTTTGTTAAATCTTGTTACACATACAATGAATATTCAGATTTTGTAATTTATCAAACAGAATGTGTAACAAGTGCTACTTAACTAGCTAGTTAATAATATTATAACTGTTATTATATATATAATATTAATGTTATTATATTGGTTACATTTGTTGTGATATTAACAAAATAGCCATCTATACATTTTTTATATGCCAATTCAATTAACAGGTGTTTTGTGCCAATCATTTGTTTATTACCCGACATGATTTGTTAAACTGGTAGTTTCCTTATTCATAAATTTAAAATTGTGTGTATTGTAATATCTATTCAATTTCCTTATGCAGATTGTCAAAGAAAAAAGCATATTTCACACCTGCTAGTAAAAAATATTCCTCTTAAAGTATCCTTAATTGTTCCTTACATAACTAAAACAGGGCATCAATAACATTTTTAGTTATTTCAAAATGCCTTAACTCAATGTTCAGTACATGGTGATTCTGTTTCTTCTGTTTTTAGTTCAATTCTCAGTGGCATGTGCCTGTTTAACCGTCAATTCAGATCATCAGGAAATGTTGGCTCGGCAAGTAAGTAACAAACAGCTAAATAAAGCATAAAACACAACTTTTAGCAATGATTGTATACATGCTTAATATATCAATGTGGTCATATGGATTCTTTTTGTACTTCTTATTCTTGTTGGAATAAAGAAACAAAGATTTCTTCTAATATTTTGTGATATTAGAAGAAATCTTTATTATATTTAAATGTTGCTATGATGAATGATTATACTGTAAATATATTGATGTTCTAATATTCTACTTGATTGTAACGGGATCTATTTGTTTTATGTGATATACCTATCTTATCATCAATATTGAGGGCAATGTAAATAATTTTATCACAAATTCTATAAATGTACAATGACTATGAATATAAAATCGGTTTGCTTCTTTTACAATTGACTACACAATATTTATCTAAAGCTAACTTTTTTATGATTTAAAGGGATGGAACAAAGTGAATATGGATGTGAAAGAGCAAGTTCAGGAAAGGTTCCAATGCTGTGGCTTCCAGAGTCGAGCACCTGAGAATGGTACCGCTGAACACCCTTCTTGTGACCTTGTGGATGTAAGTCAATATTTATGTCAGTTTATATGTATTTAAAAATGATAGTAAAATCTAATGCATCAATAAAAATTAAATATTTACCTGTTCTATATGAAATTTTACAACAATGTTTAAAAAAGTGTTCCTGATGCACATTTTCACTGTCTGTGGATCCTCTTTCATTGTTCTAGTGTAAAAATACTTTTCAAGATAATATTAATAAAATAGTCTTCAGATTTTGCATTGGGCTGACAATTTGAATAAGTTTCGATCTTCAAAATTTACTTGCTATACGCATTTTACACATATACACCTTAACCATTAATGGTATTATAATATACTTTCGTTCTTTAATAAACTTTTGACTTGATAAGAAACATCTTTTTGAAGTATTATTATTGGGCAACAGATGATAATAAAGTATGTGGTGCGGAAGCGGCGAGATAAGTCGCGTGTTATTCGCGGTAACAGTCTTGGGACCGTTCCTATGGATGCACCGACGTCTCGAGCGAGGTCAGCGTGAATTGTTACTCTGACGACATGCTGTTTCTAGCGAACGTCATGTTTGAGGTGGCGCTTCACAAATCCGAGGCCATGTGTTTTCATGGCCGTTAGAAGTCGCCTCTGCTGAGTCTTAAATAACGGCAAAAGGAGCGTCGGCGTCGAATCGACGACTAAGTACCTAGTTGTCATTCTTGACAGCTGATGGAAATTCGCGGAGCATTTCCGACGTTTGGCTAACCCACCCTAGGGGATAGTGGCCAACTCGTGCTCTGGTCGCTTCTACAGGGTCATGGTCATGCGGCTGTACTGTGGGTATCTCCTGGTCTGCGGAAAACGGCGAATTTTTTTGCCAGACTACCGCCATAGTATCTGGATGCGAAGACACTTTCTTGCACTCGTGTACCTACAGTTTGCGCGAGACCGCGTTTGAGACGTAGTCGAGGAGAAACTAAACTGCCGTGCCGATGTCTTAACCGAGGCCCGGGTTTGTAGTTTTTGCAGTAAGACCGCTCATTCTGGAGTGGCTAGAGAGTCGCCACGGAGTCTTTACTTTCCACTTGCACCGTAAGCGCGTGTATACGGACGTCAAGCGAGGGTTACTCGCACGCAGCCTCAAGCCTCAGCCTCACTCGTTCTTCCGCGCCTCAAAGAGCCATTATCCGCCATAGATGAGGCCCACTAGAATTGAAATCTTCCTGGGATTGCGGGTGCAAGCACGATTGTCTACCGCGGCCCGAATTAGGAGAAGGAATGTAGTGGTTTATAGTCAGTTAGAGACTGACATTCTCTCTCGCCCCACCCAACTTCCCCCCATAAAAATAATATTTATCTCTGCTGTACCTGTATATTATTGTGTATTTTATTCAAAAGACAACTTACAAATTATTATAATTTATATTCTAAATATTTTCAGAAAATCTGCTGTGCAAATATGCTTGATGCTCCAAATTGTCAATGTGACCCATGTATGGGCAGGTTGAAACAGACCATTGATTATGCATTCAAGCTGTGTGGCGGCATAGGACTATTTTTCAGTTTCACTGAGGTAAGTTATCATGTTATTTACGCCACTTATCATATTGTATCATTATTTTATGATAGTAAGTATGTTTATATGTAGGTATACAGTTTGATACCAGACTACTACCTACTACTACATTAATTTTAATTCTTTGTGGATTTAAATGATTTTTTGTATTAGAAATGTTAAAATTTAAATATACTTTAATCCCAAATGAAATTTCATGATTGAAATTAAATACATATAAGGAAACAAAGCAATAAACTATAAATATATACCCTTGTGAACTTTGTTCTATTTTATAATAACACAGATTAACATGCTTTAAAACTAATCTTTTTCATATTTTAATTATATTGCTAATGGGTAATACATTAATTAATAGCAAAATACCTTTTAAATATTGTAATAAGTAACATTACACAAAATCTAAAAGTATTGCATGTGTTTAATATTTTTTTTCTTATCAATAAGTAATTGTTATCATTTCATCACAAATAAAAATAAAATAAAGTAAGAAAACTATGTTTATGTTGAGATGTGACTAAGACAAGAAGCGACATATCTCAATCCCTGTCAGATAACAATTTGCAAATGTTTGTTTACTGGCGAGACATTCTTAGAATGTATTCTAGATCTTTCTCCACAATTAAACAAGAAATTACACATTCCAATTTATACTCAGATGTACCTCTTTTTTTTTTTTTTTATTCTTTATTTTTAAAGAAGGTTTGATCAGACATGATCATGCCACCTTCATTGGCCTCACAAAAAGACTTACTATCTACGCTTAAATGCTAAATTTACTAATTTATAAATAGCCTGAGCCTCCTCCGACATGGGGCAGGCTAAAATCCTATTGCATACTCCCACTTCTCGCAGGTCTACATCAAATTTGAGCCTAAAGCTGACCCTTTCGGCCTCGTTCCGGGCACACTCCACCATCACATGGTACACATCTTCAACCGCTCCACACTCAGTGCAGTTTGGTGACTGAGTTTTGCCCATCATAAAAGCGAAATTGTTCAGTGGAATGTGCCCAGACCGTAGCCTTAGGGCTACCACTATATCAGATCTACATAATCCAGAGTCTGCGAACCACGGTGAGCAGGGAAGGCAAGGTTGTATGGTTTTGTACCAGATGCCCTTAGATAATGATCTCTCGTCAAAATGCTCCCTCCAAAACTCTGTACACTTATCTCTGACCAAATACAAACATTCAGTAAAAACGGGTAAGCAGGTGAGCGGTATTCCATCAAAACTAGCTTCCCTGGACAGTCGGTCAGCTTCCTCATTTCCCGTTATTCCTACATGAGAGGGAATCCATTGGATTTTTATTAATTTGTTTGCAATACTGACTTTACGGAGCATTTTTAAAATTTCATAGGCTATCGGTAGTCCTCGAAAATTCGAGGTGCATCGAGCCAGGTGGTAAATAGCACTTTTGGAATCTGTGAAAATTACATAATTGCCAGTCATGAAGGAATCAACATAGGAAATGGCCTCTGCTATGGCTAACAGCTCAGTATGCATAATGGAGATGTTAGTGTTGACCGTCAATTGGATCGAGCTATTTGTTTGAGGATCATATAGCGCCACCCCACTTCTGCCACCTGGGTTCTTTGAACCATCTGTGTACAGTCTATAGAAATCCGAATATGTTTTAGTCAGGAATTCGTTACAACTCAGTTGCAATTCCCACGGTTTATATTGGTGCTTCGGTTTACAAATATTCTTAATGGCTGGTTCTAGTACTGAAGCGAGATCTATACTACTAACCCATATGTCTAGCGAATAGAATTCTAATAATGTCGTAGAATAAACTAAAGTGTTTTTATAGTTTTCGTGAATTAAAATTAAAAGTGGTTTTTTCTTACATCTCCAATATGAATTACCAATATCATGACTCAACTGTTCTAAAATGGGAAGAATTTCATTGCCCGTAAACGATTTGCATCTAAACCAAAACTTGCCAGCAAGATAATACCTGCGAATACACAGTGGTTGAAGGTGAAGCTCACATTCCATGATATGTATTGCAGTACTTTTAACGAATCCCCCGATTATACGCATGCATAGGTTTTGTATTCTGTCCAGTTTTGCCAAATGTGTCTTACAACTATTGTCATAAAGTGCGCTAGCATAATCCAACTTACTTCGTATCATAGCTATATACACTCGTCTCAATACAATCGGATGCATTCCCCAGCCCGCACCTGCCACGATTTTAAATACATTTAATAATCTCAGACTTTTAGCTCTCAATTCATTTATGTGCTTAGCCCAGCGTAAGGATCTGTCTAACCACAGTCCCAAATATTTCACGTTGTCCACGACTTCCAAATTTATCCCGTTTATAGATATATCAACAAATTCTCTGCGATAACCTCTTTTGAAAACACATATTTTGCTTTTGGTGGATGAGACATATAACCCAATTTGGAAAAGTAAGGTAACGAATTTGTTAATAGCTTCCTGTATTTGCATCGTTCCTTTTCGCTTGGTGTCACAATTCAAATAAATTGTAAAATCGTCCGCATATTGGGAAATACGGACATTATTGATACTATTGCAAATTTCTATGGTAGCTAAATTAAAAAGTAGTGGGGATAGAGGGTCACCTTGAGCCAAGCCGCGACAAGTGTATCTACAACTTGAAACCGAATCGACTTGCATTCTTAAACATCTTTCTTTAAGAAAATTCCACAGATACCTACATATTAAAAAACTAACTCCTAAATGTTGCATAATATTTACTAAACTTTTTATATCGACGTTATTGTATGCATTATCAATATCTAAAAAGACGGCTATACACATTTGGTTATGAGAAAAACCGGTTTGGATTGTTGACACCAAGTTTGTTAGATTGTCTAAAGTTGAGCGATGTTTTCGAAAACCAGTTGTTTTGCTAGACAATAGATTATTCTTTTCAATGTACCACTCAAGGCGTTTATTTAAAATATTGTGGAATGTTTTACACACGCACGATATCATTGCTATAGGCCGCAGAGATCCAGGCGCTTGGGGATTGCGATTTGGTTTTGTTATTGGAACTATAGTGATATCTTTCCATTGCTTAGGGACAAAGCTTAGTGTGTAGAATTCGTTGTACAATTTTAACAATATATTTTTCGCATTGTTAGGTAAATTGTAAATCATTGAGTATGATATTCCGTCGCTGCCAGGCGAAGTGTCCTTCCGGCGAATACAACTATCTAATTCCTGCCTGGTTATTAAAAGATCCAGATTCGTTTTATTTATTGCAAATACCGGGTCATTGGGACAAGCATAGTCGGGTGTCAAACTACACAATAGATCTTTTGCCTTTTCTTTGTCGACGTAGGCGCGTGGTACGTTATAACCCTTTAGCCATCTCAATTTACGCCACATTTGGCTTTGTGTGATTTTACCATCTAAGGTAGAACAAAATTCCTGCCAAGACTTGTCCCGAGCCTGACGAATTAATTTTTGAGATATTCTTATTTTGTCTTGTAATTCGATTAAATTATTAGGATTAGGGTTGCGTCGGAAATTCGAAAGTGCTAAACGTCTTTCAGCTACGCACTTGGACAGTGATGTGTTCCAATAAGGTTTAGGTGTAAACTGATTGCTTGGATTACGGTTAATTTTGTAGAATGGTATAAAACGGTCTGCTGCTATGTTTATGTAACTTATAAACGTATCATATGATTTTTGAGGGTCCCCCTCACACATCAAAAAACTATCAAACAGGTTTTCTAACAAATTTCGGTATGAGCTCCAATCTGCCTTTTTAAAATTACGTCGCAAAGTTATGTAATCAATATTCCTATCCAAGTGCGTACTCACCCTAATAATAAGATGATCGCTGCCTAAGTTTTCGTTAGTAGTAGCCCAGTTCAACCTTATCGCGATGTCCTGTGTAGCTAACGTGATATCTGGAGAAGATGTCTGAAGCACATTGTTGACTAATTTAACCCGCGTGTAGCTGGTAGCATCGTTTAAAATGACAAAATTGCTTTCCAAGAGGGCGTCGTGTATTTGTGAACCTCTCGTGTCTGTTTTGTACGACCAGTTCGTGTGGTGAGCATTCAAATCGCCTAAGATTAGAGTTTTTTTATCTACGCAGCTAAATAGATGCTCCCAGTCCAACTGATCGGTATGAACTGACGGCGCACAATATATCGAAAATATATATTCAATAAATTGACAATTGTGTAGTTTAACCATTAACACTTCCATACCAGGGTTACTACTGCTAAAACTATGTAAAGAAGCTTCTACAGACCTGTGTATCAGAAGCGCCACCCCACCGTACGAATCGTGCCTGTCTTTACGAAATATTTTGTAGTTGTTTATATTAAAATTACTCTCTGGTTCCAGCCATGTTTCACTCAGTGCTGCGATGTGAATTTTCTCTTGTGATAACAATTGTTCTAAGGCTAATGACTTAGGGCGAACACTTTGTGCATTCCATTGAATAATGTTAAGTTTTATGATGTTACTATTATCCATTACAACAACCGAAATAATCAAGAATTAGTTTAAGTATTGGCCAGTCCGAGATATTTTCAACTAGTACTAAAATTACCCATTTAACACAGCATTTAATACAACTATGTATTTTTTGTTGTATTGTTTCTCCTTTTAAAAATATAATCTCTTTCAACCTATTTATAAGCTCATTGAACTGAACTTCTCTCGTCTTCTTACTTTCATCTTCCTCAGCAATTTCTTGGCTATCCATCGCATCAACTTCTATCCACGTCTCGTACTCAACTGGTTTTTCGGTTTGTTTTGGTTTGTGGGGCTTAGTTTGTGGTTTCTTGGCAGTATTATATTGAGTGTCCTTCTCAGGTGGCTGCGTTGTAACTTCTACGTGGGGTTTTTGTACGACGGCCGAAAACGATAACTTTCCAGCCTGAGAATTCGACCAGTTTTTTTGTTCTGTTTTTGTAGTGGCACTATCTACTGGATTAGTTTCCTTAACTGGAACATACATGGTCAGTGCACGCCGATATGTGCAATTGTATTCAGCCATTATCTCTCTTAATCTCTTTTCTTTTAAATATGACGGACAAGAACGTACTAAAGCCATATGCTGTCCGCTACAATTGGGGCATTTAAATAAAGTCGTCTCACAGTTATTGTGATTACCACTACATTTTGGGCATATGATCTTTGTTGATGGGCATCTTTGTGTAGTATGACCCAGCTTCCAACAGCGTGAGCATTGGGTTACGGGAAAGATGTACTGCTCGACTCGTATGCGCAATCCATCTACAGAAATAGTTGCCGGCCGGAATGAGCCCTTAAAACAAAGGCGCACTGATTCACTAGGCTTCCAACCCTCTCCGTCTGAATTTCTGCGCATGAGTCTTTGGACGGATATCAGTTGTGCTGGTTCCGTACATTCAATACGCTTCAGCATTTCATCCTCTGTCAGATCTATGTCAATGTCTCTGATGACACCATAAGAGAAATTTACTTCCATGGCTCTCTGAATTCTCCAGTTATTTTCGATTATCTTCCTACTTTTTTCAAGTATCTCCACACTATCCTCGTTCTTCATATCTACTCTAATCTTGTATGGGTTAATATACCTAATCTTTTCAATGTCTTTTATTCCTTCTTCTTTAAACAACTTGGCCAATGCAAACTGTTTCGGCATTTTATCTTGAGATGAAATATAAATTTCAATTGTTTCACTTTTGTATTTCTTGCCTTTGCTCCCTCTGACCTCTATCCACCCCTCTTCATCTTCCGATCGATTTCTTTTAATTGGCCTACGATCTTCATCAATTGCGCACTCTTCCTGTGATTTTTCCGGTTGGTATTGTTCCTCGTCTTCCATTTCTTTCTCCATTAATCCACTCGGGTCACTCATCTCGATAACTGTATTTAATGTCTCATGTTCGGTAATGACCTCCTCCATTGCTGTTATTGCCGCGACCGGTGTCCGAAGGTATAACCTATCGGTACACACATGTGGTCAACGGCGCAACGTGGAACGCCGCAAGTTTCGACGTAAACAAACTAATTGACTAATGAGCGCGGGCACCTCGTGCGAATGCCGAAACGAGACTGGGATGTACCTCTTGTAAACTAATCATATGCATGTACACAAAAGGTAAACGAACTATTATTACAGTCTCGTTTCGGCATTCGCACGAGGTGCCCGCGCTCATTAGTCAATTAGTTTGTTTACGTCGAAACTTGCGGCGTTCCACGTTGCGCCGTTGACCACATGTGTGTACCGATAGGTTATACCTTCGGACACCGGTCGCGGCAATAACAGCAATGGAGGAGGTCATTACCGAACATGAGACATTAAATACAGTTATCGAGATGAGTGACCCGAGTGGATTAATGGAGAAAGAAATGGAAGACGAGGAACAATACCAACCGGAAAAATCACAGGAAGAGTGCGCAATTGATGAAGATCGTAGGCCAATTAAAAGAAATCGATCGGAAGATGAAGAGGGGTGGATAGAGGTCAGAGGGAGCAAAGGCAAGAAATACAAAAGTGAAACAATTGAAATTTATATTTCATCTCAAGATAAAATGCCGAAACAGTTTGCATTGGCCAAGTTGTTTAAAGAAGAAGGAATAAAAGACATTGAAAAGATTAGGTATATTAACCCATACAAGATTAGAGTAGATATGAAGAACGAGGATAGTGTGGAGATACTTGAAAAAAGTAGGAAGATAATCGAAAATAACTGGAGAATTCAGAGAGCCATGGAAGTAAATTTCTCTTATGGTGTCATCAGAGACATTGACATAGATCTGACAGAGGATGAAATGCTGAAGCGTATTGAATGTACGGAACCAGCACAACTGATATCCGTCCAAAGACTCATGCGCAGAAATTCAGACGGAGAGGGTTGGAAGCCTAGTGAATCAGTGCGCCTTTGTTTTAAGGGCTCATTCCGGCCGGCAACTATTTCTGTAGATGGATTGCGCATACGAGTCGAGCAGTACATCTTTCCCGTAACCCAATGCTCACGCTGTTGGAAGCTGGGTCATACTACACAAAGATGCCCATCAACAAAGATCATATGCCCAAAATGTAGTGGTAATCACAATAACTGTGAGACGACTTTATTTAAATGCCCCAATTGTAGCGGACAGCATATGGCTTTAGTACGTTCTTGTCCGTCATATTTAAAAGAAAAGAGATTAAGAGAGATAATGGCTGAATACAATTGCACATATCGGCGTGCACTGACCATGTATGTTCCAGTTAAGGAAACTAATCCAGTAGATAGTGCCACTACAAAAACAGAACAAAAAAACTGGTCGAATTCTCAGGCTGGAAAGTTATCGTTTTCGGCCGTCGTACAAAAACCCCACGTAGAAGTTACAACGCAGCCACCTGAGAAGGACACTCAATATAATACTGCCAAGAAACCACAAACTAAGCCCCACAAACCAAAACAAACCGAAAAACCAGTTGAGTACGAGACGTGGATAGAAGTTGATGCGATGGATAGCCAAGAAATTGCTGAGGAAGATGAAAGTAAGAAGACGAGAGAAGTTCAGTTCAATGAGCTTATAAATAGGTTGAAAGAGATTATATTTTTAAAAGGAGAAACAATACAACAAAAAATACATAGTTGTATTAAATGCTGTGTTAAATGGGTAATTTTAGTACTAGTTGAAAATATCTCGGACTGGCCAATACTTAAACTAATTCTTGATTATTTCGGTTGTTGTAATGGATAATAGTAACATCATAAAACTTAACATTATTCAATGGAATGCACAAAGTGTTCGCCCTAAGTCATTAGCCTTAGAACAATTGTTATCACAAGAGAAAATTCACATCGCAGCACTGAGTGAAACATGGCTGGAACCAGAGAGTAATTTTAATATAAACAACTACAAAATATTTCGTAAAGACAGGCACGATTCGTACGGTGGGGTGGCGCTTCTGATACACAGGTCTGTAGAAGCTTCTTTACATAGTTTTAGCAGTAGTAACCCTGGTATGGAAGTGTTAATGGTTAAACTACACAATTGTCAATTTATTGAATATATATTTTCGATATATTGTGCGCCGTCAGTTCATACCGATCAGTTGGACTGGGAGCATCTATTTAGCTGCGTAGATAAAAAAACTCTAATCTTAGGCGATTTGAATGCTCACCACACGAACTGGTCGTACAAAACAGACACGAGAGGTTCACAAATACACGACGCCCTCTTGGAAAGCAATTTTGTCATTTTAAACGATGCTACCAGCTACACGCGGGTTAAATTAGTCAACAATGTGCTTCAGACATCTTCTCCAGATATCACGTTAGCTACACAGGACATCGCGATAAGGTTGAACTGGGCTACTACTAACGAAAACTTAGGCAGCGATCATCTTATTATTAGGGTGAGTACGCACTTGGATAGGAATATTGATTACATAACTTTGCGACGTAATTTTAAAAAGGCAGATTGGAGCTCATACCGAAATTTGTTAGAAAACCTGTTTGATAGTTTTTTGATGTGTGAGGGGGACCCTCAAAAATCATATGATACGTTTATAAGTTACATAAACATAGCAGCAGACCGTTTTATACCATTCTACAAAATTAACCGTAATCCAAGCAATCAGTTTACACCTAAACCTTATTGGAACACATCACTGTCCAAGTGCGTAGCTGAAAGACGTTTAGCACTTTCGAATTTCCGACGCAACCCTAATCCTAATAATTTAATCGAATTACAAGACAAAATAAGAATATCTCAAAAATTAATTCGTCAGGCTCGGGACAAGTCTTGGCAGGAATTTTGTTCTACCTTAGATGGTAAAATCACACAAAGCCAAATGTGGCGTAAATTGAGATGGCTAAAGGGTTATAACGTACCACGCGCCTACGTCGACAAAGAAAAGGCAAAAGATCTATTGTGTAGTTTGACACCCGACTATGCTTGTCCCAATGACCCGGTATTTGCAATAAATAAAACGAATCTGGATCTTTTAATAACCAGGCAGGAATTAGATAGTTGTATTCGCCGGAAGGACACTTCGCCTGGCAGCGACGGAATATCATACTCAATGATTTACAATTTACCTAACAATGCGAAAAATATATTGTTAAAATTGTACAACGAATTCTACACACTAAGCTTTGTCCCTAAGCAATGGAAAGATATCACTATAGTTCCAATAACAAAACCAAATCGCAATCCCCAAGCGCCTGGATCTCTGCGGCCTATAGCAATGATATCGTGCGTGTGTAAAACATTCCACAATATTTTAAATAAACGCCTTGAGTGGTACATTGAAAAGAATAATCTATTGTCTAGCAAAACAACTGGTTTTCGAAAACATCGCTCAACTTTAGACAATCTAACAAACTTGGTGTCAACAATCCAAACCGGTTTTTCTCATAACCAAATGTGTATAGCCGTCTTTTTAGATATTGATAATGCATACAATAACGTCGATATAAAAAGTTTAGTAAATATTATGCAACATTTAGGAGTTAGTTTTTTAATATGTAGGTATCTGTGGAATTTTCTTAAAGAAAGATGTTTAAGAATGCAAGTCGATTCGGTTTCAAGTTGTAGATACACTTGTCGCGGCTTGGCTCAAGGTGACCCTCTATCCCCACTACTTTTTAATTTAGCTACCATAGAAATTTGCAATAGTATCAATAATGTCCGTATTTCCCAATATGCGGACGATTTTACAATTTATTTGAATTGTGACACCAAGCGAAAAGGAACGATGCAAATACAGGAAGCTATTAACAAATTCGTTACCTTACTTTTCCAAATTGGGTTATATGTCTCATCCACCAAAAGCAAAATATGTGTTTTCAAAAGAGGTTATCGCAGAGAATTTGTTGATATATCTATAAACGGGATAAATTTGGAAGTCGTGGACAACGTGAAATATTTGGGACTGTGGTTAGACAGATCCTTACGCTGGGCTAAGCACATAAATGAATTGAGAGCTAAAAGTCTGAGATTATTAAATGTATTTAAAATCGTGGCAGGTGCGGGCTGGGGAATGCATCCGATTGTATTGAGACGAGTGTATATAGCTATGATACGAAGTAAGTTGGATTATGCTAGCGCACTTTATGACAATAGTTGTAAGACACATTTGGCAAAACTGGACAGAATACAAAACCTATGCATGCGTATAATCGGGGGATTCGTTAAAAGTACTGCAATACATATCATGGAATGTGAGCTTCACCTTCAACCACTGTGTATTCGCAGGTATTATCTTGCTGGCAAGTTTTGGTTTAGATGCAAATCGTTTACGGGCAATGAAATTCTTCCCATTTTAGAACAGTTGAGTCATGATATTGGTAATTCATATTGGAGATGTAAGAAAAAACCACTTTTAATTTTAATTCACGAAAACTATAAAAACACTTTAGTTTATTCTACGACATTATTAGAATTCTATTCGCTAGACATATGGGTTAGTAGTATAGATCTCGCTTCAGTACTAGAACCAGCCATTAAGAATATTTGTAAACCGAAGCACCAATATAAACCGTGGGAATTGCAACTGAGTTGTAACGAATTCCTGACTAAAACATATTCGGATTTCTATAGACTGTACACAGATGGTTCAAAGAACCCAGGTGGCAGAAGTGGGGTGGCGCTATATGATCCTCAAACAAATAGCTCGATCCAATTGACGGTCAACACTAACATCTCCATTATGCATACTGAGCTGTTAGCCATAGCAGAGGCCATTTCCTATGTTGATTCCTTCATGACTGGCAATTATGTAATTTTCACAGATTCCAAAAGTGCTATTTACCACCTGGCTCGATGCACCTCGAATTTTCGAGGACTACCGATAGCCTATGAAATTTTAAAAATGCTCCGTAAAGTCAGTATTGCAAACAAATTAATAAAAATCCAATGGATTCCCTCTCATGTAGGAATAACGGGAAATGAGGAAGCTGACCGACTGTCCAGGGAAGCTAGTTTTGATGGAATACCGCTCACCTGCTTACCCGTTTTTACTGAATGTTTGTATTTGGTCAGAGATAAGTGTACAGAGTTTTGGAGGGAGCATTTTGACGAGAGATCATTATCTAAGGGCATCTGGTACAAAACCATACAACCTTGCCTTCCCTGCTCACCGTGGTTCGCAGACTCTGGATTATGTAGATCTGATATAGTGGTAGCCCTAAGGCTACGGTCTGGGCACATTCCACTGAACAATTTCGCTTTTATGATGGGCAAAACTCAGTCACCAAACTGCACTGAGTGTGGAGCGGTTGAAGATGTGTACCATGTGATGGTGGAGTGTGCCCGGAACGAGGCCGAAAGGGTCAGCTTTAGGCTCAAATTTGATGTAGACCTGCGAGAAGTGGGAGTATGCAATAGGATTTTAGCCTGCCCCATGTCGGAGGAGGCTCAGGCTATTTATAAATTAGTAAATTTAGCATTTAAGCGTAGATAGTAAGTCTTTTTGTGAGGCCAATGAAGGTGGCATGATCATGTCTGATCAAACCTTCTTTAAAAATAAAGAATAAAAAAAAAAAAAAAAAACTATTATTAGCAGAAGCATGAGAACTAACTACTCTCAAATTATTATAAACTTTTTTCAATAATTTTATCATATACATTCTTATCATTCAAGCATTTCAGATGACTTTTTTATTATAGATGCAGCTAATTCTGTTCACTGTTTTACCAGAGGAAATATTATTAGAATGTATACAGCATTATTAATAACGGCTACTGTAATATATAATGGATGGATAAGCTGTATACATTCTATGTATAGTCAATATGTCGCTTGCACTTGTGACTAACAATCGGACGATTAATTTGCAGTTTCTGGGTGTATGGTTGACAGTACGATATCGTAACCAAAAGGATCCGCGTGCTAACCCCAGTGCATTTCTGTGAATGATCTGACGATATGGAATTTAATCACTTGAGGTGGATTGGTGTTTTGCTTCGGATTGCATGACTTATTTCAATTATGTGCGCATGCCGCTTTTTTATTTTATGTTGTGCTACAAGCTGATTAGTAATCTTGCTGAATATAAATAAGACTAAGATCAACTAGATAGGGTGTGTATTCACTTCTTTCGTCATTAATAAAAGAGCAATTGTAATTTTCTGTTTGTAGTACGGAGATAGGTGTTTATGTGTGCATCTAGATATACTTCTACATGTTGTAAGCTACATATATCCGAAAAAAAAATAGCTACTAAAAATTATATTAAAATAATAACTCTTTAACATTTGATTAGCCCCTTTTTCTTTCTAAACGTTTTGTAAGACTGATAAAGATTGAATTAGCACAGTCAATCCACCTCCTTTCTAAAATTGCATGTAACATTCTCATATTATGTATTTTCTTTTAATAGTATAATAATCACTGTAATGTGATAAAAACAGACAGAATGTTTGAATATTTCTGTAGTCATGAGCCTTACAGATTTGCAGATTATCCTGATCTTGGAGCTATTCGTAAATCAAAAATCTGTGCTGTGCTCCTTGTCATATATTTATTCAAATCAAGTGTTCAACAGTATCTTTCGTAGTGTTTAGTAATATTTTATTTATTTGCGCGCTTGTGTAAATTACACACACATTGTTAGCATGTTTGCACGTGCATGTGTGTCTCTATTGTCACTTGTTGTTTTGTTTTACTTGAAATATGTGTGTGTGTGGAATATTCTAACTTGTAACTATTATGTTTCAGTTATTCGCTGTATGGCTCGCCCGACGATACCGCAACCAGCCCGACCCTAATTATAAGGAACCTCATGCTATTTTCCCTAGAAAGAATTACCTGTATTGAAGTGTTGATTTTAGAACTGTAATATTCCTGCAGACTGATTTAGTGAAATTGTTTTTTTTTGTAGTACCATTTCTTCCATATTTTACATATAGCGACAAAGGTCAGAAATAATTCACATAACAATCCCTAGAAGTTCTAGTTTCATTTAGAGAATACAAAGTTTGAGATTATTCATGCATTATAATGTTTGTTTTAAAAAGTAGGACTAATACTATTATTTTCTTATGATTGTAATATTATCCTCTTCAGTGCCAATGACAGTTTGGACGTGTTTTGATAGTCTAAGATGCACCATGTCCACCTTTTATTTGGAGGATGTTTGCTACCTTGGAGCCGGACTGAGAAACCTAATGTTTTGTTAACCAACTGGCATAAATAATGAACATAATATTTTTTAAATACATTTTTTTGTATACATTGACTTTTTTGGGAAGGGTTACCACTAATTGACTTTTCCAGCCCTGGGTGGGGCGAGATGGATGGATCGAAGTGGAAGTCTCTTACTGACTAAAAATCACCCCGATCCTTCTCCTGCTTAGAGCCGGGGCGACGGTACATTATTACACCTGCGACCTGTATAGATTGACTTGGCTTGACTTCAAATGTCCGCTTTATTTTAATACTATCAATTCGGGCATTTTATATTATTAAAACACGCCAAATCTTGTCCTACAAGATCACTTACCGAGTTTTAATTAAACTATGTATCCCATGCATGTTTATTATATTAGTAATAATATGTGTATGTTTTAGCTTCTATGAATGTTATTCTTTCCAGTAATCTAATCGTAAGCCCATTTATGAAGAGTTTAGGGGTTCATTATATATTATTAAATAATATGTATAAATTAAAATTATATTCGCTGTAACAGTTCAGGCTTCATGTCATTTAAATGTATCTTTGTAAAAAATGTCGTTAGTGATAATTTAAATTTAGATTGACTTCCATTTTGAATGCATGTTCAAGTATTTCAAAAGGTAAATAATTCTACAAAATATAAAATGCTTTATTACATGAGGCTTGAAAACATCAATGAGGTCGATTATGATCTCATTATTTAGCATTTGTTTCCCTAAATAAAACAATGTCATTGCTGGTATATAACTAGGATTAAAAAGTTAAGTTTTAGGTACATTTCGTCGACTAGTCAGTAGTCTAATAATTTAGCATAATCTTGCTTTCAATTTAATCCATCACGCGTATGAGCTAAATATTAGGCTTTTACGGACTGAATTTCTTATAGTAGATAAGTGCTACCCTTAGTTTGGAAGATAGGCCTTTGTTGGTTGCTCCCAATTTCTTTTTATTTTTGTTACCTGCATATTTGACTCAATTAAGCTTTAATTATCTAGGTACTTTATTATTTATGTCATTTGACATTACCAGTTCATATCCAAACCCTATATTTTTTGAAACTATTTATTTTGGAATCAAATTATACCGATAAATTAGAGTTAGTTGTCTTAAACAGTCACGAAATATATAATCGTGTATGATGCAGAGATAATTGATGCGTTTATTTTAATCTTGATTAAGTCTCGAACCAGTCACAAATTATGCTTTGAATTAGATTTTATTTACACCTGAACATAGTATATAATTTAGCCAAACTGAATTGTCCTTGTGTACCTAATATCAGTGTATTTATCAAATTATTCGGAAATAAAGTGTGCAAGCATTTTAAGGTTTATTATTTTTACTATGTGTCTACCTACTTTATCTGTAATACCGTTTTTTTTGTGAGGGGAAAATCATCAAATGACTTCTCCCGCCCAGAGCCGGGCGGGAGGGAGAGTCAGATTCTTACTGACTAAAAACCCCCCTGTTCCTTCTCCTGCTCTGGGCCGAGGTCGCGGTGCCTCATTGCGCTTACCCCGCAACCCCGGCTGAACATCAGCCCTATAGGGCCCCGTCTGTGGTGGTCTATTGGCACTTTGAGGCGCGCGTGGAACGCTACGCACCGTACGCTCGAGCCTGTTTCTGGTCAGGCGGTGAGCAGCCCTTACTCGCCGACCGCAGACCCGCGCTTACGGTGGCCGTAGATCGTCCCTTGATCCCCGACGCCCGTAGTGTCGCCTGTTGCGGCGGCTGGGGTGTGAGGAGGAGGATTGCTCCCTCACGCGGATCTGTAATACCGTGTGTAAATAAACATGATTATTTATTTATTTGACCCAATTATATTTGACATAAACTTGCTAATCCTCGACTCCCATTTTTGCAGTTTATACTTCAACAACCACGTTATAACATCAGTTCCATTTTATTACGTGTAGTAGAATCTATAGAATAAGTGGGTATGGGTACTAATATAGGATAAGGAAATAAAAGGTTATAATGAGAGTTTTCAAGATCTACATTTTATGCTTTAAAGATGCCAACCCAAGACCCACATTCATGTACGATAAAGAACACATTGATAAAGATAAGCCAGTGTCATGTTTTTAACATGGAAATAATTGGAATATAAGTGAAGATGTATTTAACTTAGTGGCGGAATGGCGGGAGAGGCTTCAACGTCCTACTGCTGGCCTCGTCACCATCGAAGCAATCTGGCCAGTACTCGATGTTTGGTTTGGGACAAGGCACAGCTCTCTGTTATTTCGCGTGCCGCGGTTGTTTTGGATGAGTTCTTTGGGAAGTTCCTGCGTCGCATAGGCAGGGAGCCAGGTGCTCGGTGCCATCACTGTATGTAAAGTATTGTGAAGAGGTCACGGCGAGGAACACGCTAGTGCAGTTCGCAGCGTGGGTTGAATCACGTCCTATCCCAATTTCAGAAATAGGGGATGATCTGTCGCTGCGGCCTGTTGTTCACAAAATGGTCGGCAGTGCGGAGTCAAGGGATGCAATGGTGTCATCCTGTGAAAATGTGTGGTTGCAGAAGGAGGCTGTGGAAAGAGATAAGATAATCACGAATCTTCTTTTAACCCGCAGCACCAGGCGTAGAAGGATCGGGTGTCTTCCGACCCCTTAGATGGGTCCGGGGACGGAGGACTTGAGGGAGGCTCCAGGGCTCCAGGCAAGAGTGTCGCCAGCCTTGTCTATGAGTGAGAATTGTAGGTTTCAATTGTAGCTAAAGTGACATGTTGCTTCCCCGCTCCCCTCTCCTGCTTCAATGATAGAGTAAGTAGAGCTGAGCGTAGGTAGTTGTGTGCAGTAGCGTAGTGGAATTGGTCAATTCATTTGAGTTTCGACGTACGGGAATAATGGTTCGAGGCTTGAACGCTTCTCAAGCCCAAATATATTTTATAAAAAAAGTTGATAACCCTATTCGAGATACCAAGCATTCTCGCGGTACCTAAGCCGTCATTTAGATTCTGCCACAATTAAACGCTACAATGAGTTGCTCGCTGGAATAGGCCGTAAGAGGACTGTTCAAACTTTAAAGATAGACATATCATCAAATTAACTTTAATATCTAGGTACCTACGAAATCTACAGACTAAGGTCAAGGTAATAATATCTACAAGTATTCCAACTTCATAGAAACGGCCGAAACGCGAACTATACCTACGCGCCCGATGTCGGGGCGCGCTCGGGACGCAGACAGACGCGGCTGTACCGCAGTGACGAACGGACGGTGTGTTGTCTTTTATTTAGAAATCAGCTCGAGTACATTATTTTATATGACGAATAGGAAATATTGTGCTGTGTTTGGTTGCATGAATTCGTCAATAACGCATCCAGACATAAGTTTTTTTAAATTACCTGGAAACTCTGAAAGGTAAGACTATAAAATAATTTTACCTACTAGTAGCCTAGGTAGGTACATAATGTGTGTCTTTAAAATGGATCATTATTTCCTTTTATCTCACGAAAACAGGTGTTTGAATTAGAGACGAGTGAAATAGGTAGTTATAGGCGGTTCTGGTTCCGAATGAATCATGATACGTTAGGTACCTACCTACTTACGCTTGTGTTAAAACGGTTCATGTATGTTTTGTTAGTTTGTATAATTCAAAGTAGGGAGTGTGGTATTTTATTATTAATAATATTTGTTTATTAACTGTGTTTATGAATAATACTAGAAAAAATAAATTTGACAGTCTCTGTGTCATTAGATAGTTTTCGAAATTTTCATAAAGAGTTTTTGCTGCTGCTTTAACAACATAATACCAATAAAAACTATTTTTTTTCTCGGTTTTAATAACATCAATAATAACAGCTAGACTCATGTAATATTTTGATGTTTGAGGGTTGTGATTTTAGAACATTCGTAGTCAGCTGTTCAGTTCGGCATTGGTGGCCAAAGAAATTTTGTTTGTTTATTTTTAAAGCACTTTATTTGTATAAATAAAAAAAGGATATTTACAATCACAAAACTAAATGGAAACAGAAAGTAGACAAAGGTAATTAAAATACTGGAGACGAGCAGCCCTAACGCATGTTTACGTACCGCGCGGCTGTAGGTATTTATTTCTTTCAAGCGGCCGAGTTACAATACTGTATGATATTTTTACTGTGCTAAGGTGAGAAAAATGTCATGAGACTTGGGGGTTAGCTGCTCTATTGTGAAACATTAGGTAGGTATTGAAAAAGCCCAGTTGCTTACGGATCACCACGAGACATAAAAGGCCTAGTGCCTAGATAGGTGTAGGTAGATTGCTGTAACAGCGTTCCGCAGCTTCAAACTGGAAAAATATCGCCTTTATGAAAATTATTTTTGATTGAGCAAGCCCACAATCGCTAAAATGACAGGATCTGGTGGTCAGCAACTTGTCCTGGGCCTATCTACCGCTGTTGTTCTGAATTATCAAAACGGGCAGACAGTTATGTTTTGGGAAGGAATATGTTCCACTGGCAAAACTTCCTCACTTTTGATCGTTTATCTATAAAAACTAAGGGAGTTTTACAAGCGAGGCATAAAAACCGATCAAGAATGTTACTGAGAAGACATCCTCGAAATTGTGCTGCTTCCTTAGAGCCAACAACACTTCGGCAACTAACCACGGATAGGTACTCCAACAGGACTTTGCGCCAGCTCACGTGGCCTTCAGGGTTTAGCAGTGGTGAAAGCCAGATCTAAATCCAATGGATTACAATCTTTGAGGAGAGGGCCCGAGCGTCATTAAAGTGCCAAAGACCTAGTCGTCCGTTATTTCGGGCCACCCTGTAATTCACAAAAATCGATTAATCGATTGTCAATACCTATTATGTACATATTAGGTACCTACTCCATACATTAGGTACTAACTAGCAGTTCATACCTTGTGACACCCGGGATTTAAACCCTGATAGGAAAGTGATGTACTGCCTACTGTACTCGTATCTATGTGTTACCTAATGGGAAAATGTAGTGGGCTCCTGCCTACCTACTTATAAGTATTAGGTGTAAATATAGAAATGTATAGCTGAAAGGGTAGAAAGATGGGGTTTTAATACTAAAGCAGCAAATAAGGTAAGAAAAAGAAAAGACTATGTTCAAATTTGTATTCTGTAATTTTTAATCATACATAGTGCACTACGCAGCGACTTTTGAAGTAAATACGACTTAATCGATGAGAAGGGTATGTGTACAATACAGATGAGATGGGGTTTTTACGTATATTACTACTTTTTTATATTACTATTCAGTACGTATTGTAGACACGTCATGTTAGGTACATAGACCTACACAGTTTACGTAAATTAAATACAATTGGATAACAAAGAAGGGTAAGCAGATTGTAATACGCAAAGTATTTTTTCAGCGCTATCCGGATACAGAGAAGGGTTGGTCGTGTTGGCACCGCGCAGAATGGCCGCGCAGGCCCTTCGGCAGTCCGCCCGCGCCCTGGCGACACTGGGCGGAAAACCTTTGGTAGCTGATAGCAGACAGTCGCGCACCGCTCGCAACCACCGCTACACTCATCGATCGGTCACAACACTGATAGTGTGGCTCCTAACGCGTTCATTGAAACTGTGCTGTGCCTGTGAAATTATATTAAATCAACATGTCCTTCGACAAAGATGAACTGCGTGACGAGTAAGTACACAAACATGTTTCTATCTATTAAACACAACTATACACTCGGATTGCAATGACTGTCACTCGCCACATTTTAAACTAGGTGAATCGATGACCGAGTATAATCACATCATTAAACAGATTTTTCTATATGAGTCGTAGCCGTCGTTGATTTAACAACACTTGTCTTTGTTCAGAGTTTTATTGAAACATAAGAAGATTAGTTTCTACTGAATAATGTTTTCTTGTAATGGAGAAAAATAGAAAAGAAGGAAGGAAAACTTAAGGCCTACTAAGTAACTTTACATGGAGATAGACAATTGATTGTCGTTACAAATATAAATAGTGTCTGTTTTATATAGTTTGAATGCGATTCATGGGAATTTAAGAAAATGCTAATCTGTTATTTGTATGTTCAGATTGTTGCTTCGCTTCAGTGGGTACCTGTCCAAATACAAAGGAGACGTAATATTATCTACTCTTATTGTCATATATTTGACTAAGTAAAACCAAATATTTGATATAGGTATTCTATCTATTGTAGGTCACCAGCATTCAACCATATTTTTATAACTTTCACAACTCATAACGTGCATCGAGTTGTGCAATTTAATTCATCATTGTTTTAATAATTGGTATGTTGTTCATAATGTGTTTGTTTACTGTTAATTACTTTAATAAAAAACTATATTAGGACTAAGTCTTGTTTAAGTAAACCACGATCTTTTCAGAATAAAAATCATTAAGTAAGTAAGTACCTAGGTACGTAAAAAATAAAGACGACAATAGATACAGTCAACTGCAAGTTAGTACCTAATCCCGTGATTTAGGTAAAGTTATGATTTTGGTGAACAAACCTAAACTCTAAATTATGTTACTTTTCTAAGCTAGTAGCTACCTACCCAACAAAGGTTTAAAAAACTCATACTTGCAAGTTTTTTTAAATATCAACTAGATACCTACCTACTTAATCTGAGCCTGTAGTTACGGATACTTAATAAGTAAGAATATATGTTTTATGCACCTAATAATATTGCAACGGCGTAACATTTTGATCCTTTATTAGTATTTGCTGAATACATGCGCAGTTAATAGTCGTGTTTTTGTTTGGCATCTAATACACAGCAGTAGGTATTTAAAAATGTTGTAACTCGATTACGAATTTTAATCAACACAGATAATATTAGAAGGCGGTTTTGATAAAACTTTGCTATAAACAGCTGTTAGTAACAACTAAACGGCCATTATTATCTTAATCTTTACAGCGGCGACGTTCTGCTAATAGGACCGTATAAATAGCAGTTATAAAAATATTCTACTTAGTACCTAGTGTTAACACTATTAAATAAGAGTGAACTAAAGTTGTGATTTTTAAAATATCAAATGTCGCAGGACGTGTCGAGTTCAACGTAAGTAACCAAGTTCCTAAATAATAATATTGGCTTCTCCTTCGTGCCACACAGACCATACCTTTGGTTACATGCCGTACCTACCTAATAACCCTGCACTGACCGTTGTTAATTCTGGGGCGCATATTTAGGTAGGCTATAGTATATCTTGTATGCTGGATTCCATCTTTATGTTTTTATTAATTTGAACTCATTTGACAAGCATCTGATTACTGTCTATTTGAGAGGATTCTCATGCCTCCAAAACCTGAGATTTTGGTGATAAATGAAAAAGACTTCTGTTTTACCCGACTGTTGGAGCGTATCGTTTTTTTTTGATATTTAACTTCTTTTTTCGCATTCTTTTCGTACACACTAAGGTACAAATCTACGTTGTGATTGCTATCTTGACAATCACAATATTCACTAATCGCTCATACAATAAGCCAGCGAGTAGGAGCCTAAGATTAGGTAGACCTACCTACCAACATACCTAAGTGTAAAACGTGGGTTATCTAGGAAATAAATTTGGAGCGGGCGGAAAGGGGAATCATTAATAGAAATATTGAATTAATTTTTGAAACAATAATTAAGTATTTATTTACATAAACCAAATAAATGTACAATAGGTGGGCTTGTAATCACATGGGCATTCTCTAACAGACAAACTTTTGGAGTTTGGATCAAAATATCTACATGAAGTCGAAAGGAATTGACTTCTTCCGCCTTGTGTGGGGCGAGGTAGAGTGTCAGACTCTTGCTGACTAGAAATCACCCTGTTTCTTCTCCCGCTCCAGACCAGGGCCAAGGTATATTATTATGCTGAACTCTCAACCCTGGCTGAACATCTGCCGGCTGGGGCGCGAGGAGGACACTTCTCTCACGTGCTCTGCCTCCTTCTCTGTAAGCATGACTGCTTGATTTTATTGATATAAGCATCAGGCAATAGTACCGTTGCGGGATGGATTGTATAGACAACCCTGTTGTGCGTTCCCAAAGCGTTTTTATGGCTGGTAGTATTCCAAGCTAAATTGGAAGTTATATGAAGTCTGACGAAGGAACATCAAGCAAAGAGCAGTAATTTATATGTAATCTGCTATCCAACCTAGATTGAGTAGATTGTGTTTCGAAGTGACCTACTTTGGGACGGTTTCCAAGATGAAATTGTTAGTTCAGGTAAATGTGAATTACGTACCAACCTAGGTTTGCTTAGCACACTTCTTCATATCGTAACCAATTTTACGACCTTTTGTGTTTCCTAACATTTTAAATCACCAGTTTTCATTGTTGTTTTTCCCACCCTCATCGCTAGAACGTCTTGACCTAGTTCAACTGTTGTTATAATACCGTTTTTAACATCAAATATTCCTATACATCTTTAATTAGTTTCGATCCTCAAAGTAATCGCGTATTTTGTAAACCTTGAAAGTTGTTGGTAAAGAAGTAGATTTAATAATATTTGATATCCTTGAGCTTAACTTTTTAACTAAGGGTTTCAGATCGGTCTTTTTATAAGATGCTCAGATCGGCCTTTTTATAAGATGCTCAGATCGGCCTTTTTATAAGACGCTAGCACAGTAAAAACATTTTAGAATGTTTTCACTGTTTTAACAATCTAGCGTGAAAAAGGACATTGTGAAAATTACACAATGTCCGTTTACGAATATATATAACAATTAAGGATTCGCTTAACTTATATTTTGCGCGGGAATCGAACCGCGTATCATTATAAGTACTGATTGCGCTTTGCGCAGTGGACTGTCGCCGGGCAATGCGCTAACTTCCTTACAATGAAAATATGTAAAAAATATCAAAAACCACTGTTTCGTAAAACACCATAACAAAATAATGCTGAATTATAATTATATTTGGTAAGTTGAGTATTAGGGTTTTGGAAGAAGTGTCTATACTTAGGCATGTGACATGTTTCCTGTTTAAACATTTAAATAATTAATATTTAAAAGTAAACTTGGGAATTACCTATTTTTATTTGCTGTTTACCTTCTATTGTACCGCCGTACATGCGTCACATAACGTTTACAATTACAAGTCGCTATGATGACGTAAGCGTGCGTACGTACGTAGTATTTAGTAATAAAACTGAGTTTAAAAACTTGAACCCCTTACCTAAGGCCTAAAGTCATGGCCTCTATAAAGTAGTTTTAGAATCGCTCCAACGTACATGCTCTATATGAGATATAGTCGTCACATCGTCGTGAAGTCTAAGTAATTACATTCGCCGTCATGTACTAATTTTATTGGCACTTACATCTTACCTAAGTCATAAAAAAACTTTGTATTATTTTTATATTATGTACGCACATTCATAATAAGTATGTAAACAAACTTTGTGGCACAAAATGCCGTTGGGATTTAAAGTTTCGTTGACCGGAAGGATGGCTTCTTTTACAGTGATCGTATTTCTCAGATCCAATTAAGTTTTTTTCGATAGCACATCTATGGATGCTAAGTATTAAACATTCAAGTCATCACTTTTAATTCACTGAATCGCATAACACCATAAAGATATAAGTACGTAAAGCAATTTAATAAATGCGTTCAGCGCTATTCCTTTACTAAGCGCGCGATTAAAGTTTCTGCTCTAGTGACACAAATTATGATTCATTATACAACGAGGGATTGCTTCGGTACTACATAGCGTTATTATTGATACGGCTGGCAATGGACAGCTGCGCAAGGTAAAGCGAATTTTTAACACGCGCCGAGCAGTATCGCTCTGTGATGGAATAAAAGTTTTCGTGAATTCCCAGGCAGCTGTACGCGATCGCGAACCGTACAGACAGACTGCTATTCGCCTTTGGAAAGTCGATCAAACAATACGTTGTAACCGTTCGGTGCAGCTCGTGGTACGACCTGTTGTGCTTTTCGTAATTTATTATTATAAAAAAAAAGAATCAGTGAATGTGTTGCGTGTTTGTGAATTTTAAATACTAATAAAATATTTTTGTAATAGTTAAAGGTAAGTGTTTTTCATGTTAATTTGTAATTTTATTAAATTGACTTTTTATTACTGAATTAACTTATGTTTATGATCGACTTGCATTAGGCTAGACTAGTTAATAAATTTCTAAATTTAGAATTAACAATTCGTACTAGCCTATCTAAAAAGCAGACAATGATCTATACAATTATTGGGTTAAATAAAGTAGTTTTTCATTATTATAGTAACACACACTCTTTGAACATCGATTAATGGTTAACCTTGATTAAATTGTTTGCAAACAGATTGTATCAACGTAATGTATTATCGTAACGTTAAAAAAATAACATCATGCGATAACCTTTGATATGGACCGCTTCACTAAATAAACAGGTGATGTAATTTACGTATTAGGATTAATGGGACTTAACGCTAATTTAGTTCTATCCTGTTAGAAATGATAGCTTAATAACAACAAGACCTAACTTTTGTTTCTTATATTCTTTAGCCTTCAAGAAAATCCAAGATGCCGTGCAATTGTAAAGTGGAGGAATCGAGTGCATCCTCCCAACATCAGAACGGATGCGAGATGAATGCTCGTCGGAGTTCTGCTGGACAAAACGGCCACCATCAGCCACATCGGAAGTCGTTTCAAGATAATGGCCATGGAGACGTATGGGAGAACTATGCTGATGAACCCGTAGACCGTGATACTGTTAGGTTGTGATAATATCTATAACCGACTACACATTTTTGACTTACATATATTATGTCCATGCAATGTATGTATGTGATGAAATTAAGTTCGTGTTTCCAAACAGTACGGTAACTTCATTGAACGTATTGAATAAAATATTATATTTTGTTATTTCCTTTTAACTCTTACTTGAAAATAATATGTTTCCTTCCTTATAGCACTTAAAGTATACCGACGACAAAATACTTTTAAGACAAGGTAAAGCTTGGAACAAAAGCACTTGAGACCCTACAAAATCTTATAAAATGAAAGGGTCTGATATATTGTGGACGTTGTTAAGTATACGTTCCCTAGGTGTCCTTACTCCTATGTAATTTATGTACTTGTAATATGATTCTTATGACTGGCTCATTTCGACAGGTATCCAGATGGCACGGTGCGTCTGCGGAACCCTAACATCGAGCTAATGGACCAAGACATATTATACCACTTGGCACTCGGCAGCGGGTCGCACGATCTCGTTGAAATGTTCGGGGATGTTAAGGTAATAATATATAGGTATTATTTAAGTACTATTATCCAAGTGTTAAATTTCTAGAACATTTTTGTCTTGTTTGTCTGGGTATTAGTTCTTGGAATTGTTTATTTGATGACAATTATAAGGCTCTACTTCGTTTGTATATCATTGTACTTATGAAATAATATTAATGAAGTGCCTTCATTGTAAAGCGTTGCTAGTGTCATTCATTCATCATGAAATCATATCTGTTTTTCCCCAAGTTTAGAAGAAGAACTGAAACATCATACCGTACAATACATATTAAAAAAAAGAAGAATTATGAAAATAATATAAACATTATAGGTGCATATTTTCTGACTAAAACATAATAAGTATATCTACTGGACATTTCCTCATAACGGACCATCTACATACATATAAGTTTATGTACAAGCTTACTTTGAATTTGTCTTTACCGACACTTAAGCACTTATGCATTTTTTGTGCAGTTTGTGTGCATGGGTGGCACCCCGAAGCGGATGGAGCAATTTGCATACACAATCATGGCGGAGATTGGTCACAAGCTGCCGTGCGGGACCACGCTGCAGGACATCAGTCAGTTCTCCTACAGGTACTCCATGTACAAAGTGGGGCCTGTGCTTTGTATCAGTGTAAGTATTATTGCAGTTTGACAATAATTTTAACTAATTATTACTTAGGTACATGCTAAAGCCGCGTGAAAGTAATACCTACCTACCTACAGAACGAGAAAAAAATAATTTCAAGAGTTTAACTTTGTGTGTGTCAATCTGTCGGACTATTATCTATTGAAGCTATTTGCTCGTATGTAGATTCCTGGAGAATAACCAGCAAGAAACTCCATGGTTGCTCTTTTTACAATAAAAAATACAATACTCATAACCTTTCAGTCATGGTAATTCGATACACAATACGAACACAAAATAGATATAATAAACATAAAATATACAATTAATGCAAAAGGCCCCAAGCACAAGCTTAAATTGGTACCTAGCTATTTTGGACGCACTGAATTAATGTTGTATAATAATACTTAGGTATCATTTAAAATTGCAAGAACTTTATGATATGTATAGTTCTTATTTTCGAATAAATACGAGTACATATCTACTACCTACCTCATTATTAAGTAAATTTATATTTATTTTAAATTGAATGGCAGTCACTAGGTGATGCTTATTATACTACCTAAGTGTTACGCATTTAAATCGTAAATAAGTACACACAATAATACTATTTGGTAGGTACATAACTTTATGTTTTTGTTATTATATTGATTGATGATGTTATCAATAGTTTTACGTATAAACTTTAAAATTCTCATCGTTTGTAAACAAGAGCAACTGATTAAAGAGACACCTATTAATAAGGAGATTAGGTATATATTTAAGCGCCAGTGCCACCACCTTCATTTAACTTCATCTATTATGTGGCACGTAGGTAATTCAACCAAATGAAATTCAGTCAGAAACTTACATAGTTCAAGTTCAGACATTGTGAAACAGACCGCGGGAACATTTTTGTTTCAAGAAACACAAATTCTTTCAAGATTTATATCACTATATCAAAAAGTAGATATCATTCCTTATTTGTTCCTTAGTTTTAAGTACAATGTACGTACACATCAACGTAATTAGTGTAATATCACTTTACGCTACTTGTTGTATATCCAGTCACATGACGTGATAGATATTAGTTTCAAATTCAATAGAACCAGTTCACAAAGGCCTAATCAAGGCCTAATTCAGTATACCGAGTTGAATACCTGCCTCACTGACCTACCTAATATAGACAGCATTATGTGTTTCCGTTTGGTATCAAAGGCTTGTTTGTACCTACGTTTGCAGAAATCAATGAGTACCTACTCTAATTAGTAGTGTCATATCATTAATCAAGATGAGTTGATAAATATAGGTAATACTAACAACAAAATGTTCTTTATAAATGACCAGTCACGTGGTTGAGTACAACGATGTCTTGTAGGTCAATAAATAGATAATATTATTTTAATATGAGAACGTTATGTAAAGCTTCTAGTATGTATGATCATCATGTCGTGCAATATTTATCAGAGATCAATTTACAATTACAACGATTTCTTCACAACAACGATCTCTCTCTCGCTGCAGATATACTGTTTCACGTACTTACTTGTATATCAATCGGTTACAAATTAGATGCTATTTGATAACGTAGGTGATGAATAAGGATGATTTAATTCATCAAACACCAAGCGAACGTCGGCGTTCGCGCACCTATTGTTATTCTATTGGGTCTCAAATTACCACAGTTGATTGGTTAAGAATTATTTTCATTTAATAGTGCTTTTTATATGTACGGTAGCCAAATACCCGCTTTGCCTAGCAATGCAAAGGTGGCTACACAGTCCTACATGTTTCAGACACGTGTCTGGTCGTACTCACCCACGGTTCACGTGTAATCCAAGCCTCGTGACTGAACAGTGGCACTAGTGGCCATGATACACTGCGACTGATAAAATAAGAGCAGAAAACAGATATATGTAGGTACATAATAATATGGTATACGCAATGATACAAGCTATTGCCCAAACATCTATGTCGTAGGTAGGACATCTTTCCTAAAGCGATTACTTTAACTTCTTTTAAAACATTATGGTCACTGGAGTAGCGAAATGACATGACCTCGGATAGCCCTGTACTGTCTGCATAGTAGAATGTATCATAAGCTGTATTTCGCCGTGTGAGTAAAGTTATCGGAGGCCCAAACCTCCTGTTCCTAATCCCCAAATTCCGCTGTCTTCAAACTCCTAACCCCTCAAAAGTCTGGTAAGGCATTTGTAGAGTCCATTGTGGCGTTGATTGCTTACCACCAAGTGATCCGTCTGCTCGTTTACTGCTCTAATATACCAGGTTATTATAAGTATCTATTATTTTTAACTTGCAAAAAAATGGTTCGTTCCTTCCTTGCTCGTCATAATTCAAATTTGATAGAAAATATACAGCATTATTTTTCACCGAGTGAGGTGTACTATACGGATATATTTTCTTTATTTGGCAATGATTAATCGTTTCGAAAGTAACCTTCAACTATGTACCTACCTACAATAAATGATTGCTCAGGAATGTTAACCACGATTCCGATCAGCTGTTTATTTTAGAACCAATCTGACATTTCTTACTCGGCAACCTTGAATTTGCATTGTCTCATTTGAGACTACTCGAGAATTACCATCCATTTTAATCATAAAGTAGATGCAAGTAAATAGAATTATTTATATTATTGTGGTAATATACTCGTATGGGTACTTGGATTATGAAGTTGAATTATAATTCTAAATTCTAGATAATTAAGGTTAAGATTCCTCAATATGTGTTGGAGATATAAACAAAATATATAATAATAATTTATCTAAGGAAGTAATCCAATGTTTCTTAGTATTAAATATTGGCTCATTTCCTTACAAATACTTACATACCTACGTCATTAAGAATGTACATACCATCTGCTTATTATTTGTGCCTAAAATCTTTTTTCAATGGCGTGTCAATCATCATAACGGGAAAACTTTCGTAACCTTGACAATCGAATTGAAAACATTCTGAATATTAGCGGTCCAGGCTGCACGAGATTGCAAAACGTGCTCTACCAGTAGCTGTAGGTGTACCTGTACGTAGGTAGATAGACCTCCGCGCGGAAATGTTGATTTGCCTCGCAAATGGTTCGATTAGACTGAGCGGCAGGTAGCCATTAAAATTAGCAGCTCCCATAACTAGCAGGTTAGGTACCCGAATGTTCGCAAAATGCTGACAAACTTAAAATCCAGGGAATTTCCGAAATGGGAAGTCCCCTTCATATACGGCTGTTTGAATGCGTCTATTGTGCTTTGTGATAATTGTTAACATTTCGTACAAACTTTGAAACCCTCCATTGTTTGATGTTGCCCTTTTTCTTTGCAACTATGTAACATGTGTAATTCAGGAAATAGTTTCATCATATATTTTTGAGAGGCTATTCCAAGAATCCTACGTTTTAACGGCGTGCCAGTAAAATGCTGTTTTGTCAAGTTTTATAAATAAAATTCCAACGACCCACAGAGTCCCGCATGAGGTTTTGTACTGCGACAGCGTTTTATTTGGTTTAAAGCCTACGCACTAGTAAAGATTTTATAGGACTAAATTTTGGCATTTGAGCAAACATGGAATTTCGATTGTTTCGGCAGAGTGATACAGGGTAGTAGTTGTCAGACCGATTTTAAGAAATTCACCATTCCTTAAAAAACATGCGTTAAATCATATGTCGCCTTTCTTTTCTTTTGAGGAGTGAGATTCATCTTATGTCTTTTCTCGCCTAGAGGGATTGTCAGCCTTTTATTGACTGTAAACCCCCTGTTCCCTTTTCTACTCTAGTCCGAGTATACGCGTAAACGTAAACGTATACCTAATCTCTTGTTAGTATTTAGTTTATATTTATTGAAGTAATTTTATTTACAGCATGGTATGGGCATACCATCGGTGGGCATTCTGCTGCACGAGGTGATCAAGCTGATGTACCACGCAAAGGTACGGGACCCTGTGTTCTTCAGAATTGGTACGTGCGGTGGCATCGGCTACGAGGGCGGGACTGTTGTCATCTCTGACGAGGCCGTCGATGGCGCACTCAGGAATGTTTTAGAATTGGTAAGTACTGGTACTATACGTATCTACAACATATAAGTTCAGTTTCCTATACTTATTTCCAAATTCGTTTACGATGTCCTAACTGTACTTAAGCAAGCTAGATATATTTTAGGAATTTCTTATGGTTGGCCCTATTAAAACACGTTTTTATACATTTTAAGTGGTTTGTACTTTCAAACAGTGAAAAAGAAAAGATTTAATGGCTTGAGAAAGTCTTTTCAAAAATACCTACCTTGGTTTGACATGCAATGTTATATCGGTTTCAGACGGTTTTGGGTAAGAACATCCAACGACCAGCCAAACTGGACAAGAGGTTGGCGCGCGAACTGAAGGGCCTCGCTGATCCTGAGGATCCATATGATACTGTCACCGGCAAGACTATGTGCACATACGACTTTTATGAAGGTGGGTCTAGAAACTATGATACCTAATTTAAACTACAGATTGCGTTCGTTGTCCAATTTCTAGGACGAAATCTTTACCTTAAAGGGACTACCTTCTTTACTTTACTACTTTACTAACTTTTAAGAGTAATATAGAAGTGCTGATCAACATAGAGATTTTGCTTGACATGTTGATACTTTCGATTAGGTCGAAAGATAAGTCACTAATTATTTCAGGCACTTCAGTAGATACGACACTTTAATACGTGTATGGTCGAGCCCCTTTCAAGATAAGATTATTTCTAAGAATGATAAGTTAAGCTTATTGATTCCCAACCACAAATAAAGTCTTCTATAAATAGCTCCGAGGACATTTATTCAGAACTTTATTGTTGTTAAAACAATTAAGAAGTGTATCATCTAGATACTTTATAGAGAAATCGAGTGGTTGTACTTTATAATCAACAGTTGAGCTCCATATCATTTTTATTTCACATTATTAACGACACAACGTTAACTGGTCAGGCGCCTACATGGCCATTAAGAGACCGCATTCTTTGCAGTGAGCGTGTCACAAACTAAACATTAAAACAGATTATAATTTGCGCAACTGATAAGCGGATAACGGCGATGTGTGTACTAAGAACATAAATAAAGTTATTCAGTTAATACCGAGGTCACAAATAAATATAACTGCGCCATTGTCATTTCAGGTCAGGGTCGTCTGGACGGCGCGTTCTGCGATTTTACGGAAGCTGACAAGATGGAGTACTTAGAGAGCATTCACAAGTCAGGTGTCGTCAACATTGAGATGGAATCGCTTGCATTCGCTGCGCTTACGCACCACGCGGGTATCAAGGCCGCTGTCATATGCGTCACTCTGCTCGATAGACTGAGGGGGGACCAGGTAAATTTACATTAATGTAAAATTACTAAACTGCTAACAAGTACTTACGTTCAGAATTTTTTAAAGTTCCTTGTTGTTAAAATAACAAATAAAAACTGAAAAATAATGAAAATGAAACATTTCATATTCGATTACAGGTTTTAGCACCTAAGGAAGTATTGGATGAATGGCAGCAACGACCAACGAAGCTTGTGTGCCGTTACATCAAAAGGTAATGACATCTGCGAAATGGAAAGTGTAGCGGTACCTACCTATGTATATGCACATGCATACTACTATGACATCGTCCGTCGTCAGTCAATTGACATGATAGGTTACGTGTCGCGAATGAGAGCGAAATATGTAAATGTTCAATGGTCCTTTGTTAACTGATATTGAGTTGATCAATTGTGAAAGTACCTACTGCGCAGACTGAAAAGAGTAATGAAACAAATTGTTGCGTAAGGAAACAAGTTCGTTTAAGAATAACAAGAATGTTTGAAAATCGAATTCTACTAAATAAGGTAATTCATTCAAAATAAAGGGTTTCACGTGCCATGTTTATTATTTGCAGATATCTTCAGATGAAGGGTCGGCTGTCGCTGGACGGGCACGGCTCCATTGCTGTCAAGAGCCCGCGCCGGTTCAAGCTCGTGCAGCAGGAGTCTGAAAACTACGACTAGAGTGCACCCAGGCCTCGCCCACCATGGAATCTCCTGGACAGCGACGGAATTGGGCTTGCACTAGTTCGGAGCAATCTGTGCTGATCGCTCAAATGTTTACTACGCTCCAACTTTACCTACTTCTTTAGTTTCTATTTTATATGTTTGTTATTACGTCACATCTTCAAAAACATATATTTTTTCGACTACTTTTGAAAGTGTATCAAAAATCTGGATATTTTTTAAGTAGGATCGTTGACGCTTTTGTCAAAAATAAAGATTTGGTCAAAATAATTTATGTAGGCACGGAATCGAATATTGCTGTGTATTATATGATTGGATAGTGACTCAGGATGGTGTCATTTGCTTGCACTGCCACAAGATGGTTTTCATGTTGAAAAGTTTTAAGGCGAACATTATCTGTTATTGCTATTAACTGTAGGTCATATATACGTTAAGTTAATGCACCCTGCACCAAAATATTATTTAAGATTTCCTATTTACTTAGTTTGAATATGAAATACATGTTAATAACCAATTGATGTTACTTGTTATAAAAAGACAAACTACTAAATTAGCGCTTAGATAAGATACTTAGTGAATTTTGTGGTTAGACATATTAACGATAGATTTACGACCATTCCCTTTGTGTTTTTTGCATTTACAATATTACATAACATTGAGATTATTACGGTTCTTGACTGTAAGCATCCAAAAACAAACAAAAAATTAAAATTTTGTTCACAAGCCATCAATTTACAGGTTAACTGGCATTTGTGTGGAGTTATTATGTTTTACAAAAGTAGTTATTTCTCGTGTGCTTCTAAGGTAAATATGCTGAGTCACGGTGTAAACGTATGGAAGTGCGTTGCTAAATGCTATGAATGGATTTTTTTAATATTTTAAAGCTAGGTACAATTGTACGAAGGTGTTCGTTTGGTTATGTTGTTGCACAAACTGTATTAGCGACAAATGTGATAATATTTGGCAGTAGTGTAATGTAAGGACCACGACAAACGTTCAGATTCTTTGTCGGCGATGTTCGTCCTCCCTCAGACCTTCGCTTTACTTTCACGCCTTGCACAGTGACAGCTTGGATGTCGGACTTGTGCAAGTACCTCTACTTGTATACTCATTAATATTCTTGACAGTGACACTGAAAGGTTGTCTGTGTTAATGAAATATTGTTCTAATATCACTTGTGGCGGAAGTGAAGGTAAACATGTTATATGGCAATTACATATTAATAAGTAGCTGCACCTGTTCGGTCACGTACTATCACTTGTATTACTGGCACTTGGTCCAAAAAGACATTTTGTATTTGAAAAGGAGAACTGTTTGTATCTCTAGCCTGTATTAAAATCTGCATCGCCATCAGACAATCGTACGTTTGTTCTATTGATTTATTGTGCTTCCACGAATGGTTATTGTTGATAATTTATGCACGAAGCGTTGTCAACATGCTTTATATGTTACAAGATATAAGTATAGAATAAGATATTCCAGTTATCTACGTTGATGTAGTTTTCATATTATAAGAATATCTGATAATAAGAATGTTAATCATTAAAATTAACCAGCTTACTATAGGGTTTGAGAGTAATTACTATTTTTATTTATTTATTATGAAAATGACCAAATCTTATCTCAGCTCTCGATGCGTTACATCGGAGATGTCACTCGGTAACTTGTGCGTTAAGCTAAAGTTTCGCAGAGGTAAGCGTTTATTGTTAATCATGATAGTAATAAGGCCAACGCTACGATACGATAAACTATAGTTATTAATCATGATAGTCCTAAATATAGTGTTGTATTAAATGTATTTATTTCATATTTCAAAAATATTATACAAATGTAGTTCAATTTATAGAGCTGTTTTGTTGATGTTCCAATTTAAACATATCTTACTAAATATATATTTACCTACTGAATTTTTTCTGTAATAGTGCATTTGACAGCTTTTTACGTCAAGAAAATATCATCGAAATGCTTATCAATGTCCTATAACTATAAGAAATACTGTTATTTATTCAATACTAAACTTCGTAACAATATATCAAAATTTTTAACAACATGAATTTTAATCGAGATTCTTGGTCATTGCTATGTCTGTATTTATTGTGATGGAGCATGTCAAATTAGATGGTGAAGCTATATAGGTGTCAAGATATAATTTAGAGATGGTGGGAGGTCTGAATAAATATACCTAATGCGTTCGAAAGAAGCCTAAGTAAATTCATATGTATCTAAAACTAATCGGCTGGTTTAATGTAAATAAAGAGTGTAACAGATGGAAAATGAGAAAATGTGTTTTGTTAATGTTATGTATCAGCCGATCCAGTGACACTGCATCATCTAATTTAATACCCTTTTATTTATTAAATATTAGATTTTTAAACGTGTGGCTTTGTTCCATGGTAAGATATAATTATAGCACTGTTGTTAGATGTTAATGAATATTGTCGGCCAGAATATAAAATGTTATTCGTTGCATATCCCTATGTTATGACTTGGTCACCTACTGTGGCCATTTGAACCGTGTATCGAAACATTATATCGTAACGAATTAGGTAGGTACGTATATTTTTATAAAACTGTATTTAAATAACGACTTACCTATCAACTTTGGTTAACATATAACCTAGTATTGTCATATAACGACCTATGTATTGTGTAAAACAGTACCATATTCCTTGTATTTATATACATTACACTTGTTCTTCAATAACTGCTTATTTATGAATCCAACTTAATTTTACCTTGGATATAATGTGTGACAAATATTCCTGTAAGCAATGAATGAAACACTATTTGAATGTTGTTTGTTTATCAATATTGTATTTTTTGAAGTGAAGATAATTTTGTCCAATGGAGAGCATGCATATCGTGAATAGGTTCGAGTAAGTAATGACTTTGATGATTGGGCAAATTGAATGGAAACACGGATGCATGTTCGTTCATCAATAATATTTATATCATAATCGTGTATCCTTACCTATTTATTTACAATAATTGATTAAGTTAACATAGAAGCGACAGTGATGCTACAACTGCTACCAAGTAGTATTAATACAGAGGATACATGGCACCAGAATTATGAATTAACTACTACATACATATTAAGAAAAATCGAGATTATGTCTTATATTTTAATTATAACTACAAGATTGCGGTCAAATCCCAATACACCATAGTAATTTAGACATAATTTATTCCTTACATCTTCCAGCATAAAGACGCTAAAGTATAGTTGCACCCATAATGAAAAAGTTGTTCCATAAAATCGAATGTTATTTTTAATATTTCATGGACCAACTCCAACAGTTTTATAAAACTTATTCCATCGAAAGCGCAGACACAGAATATTTCATTTAGTTTTTCGCTCGTTATAAGGGGTTCCCGAAAATTACCTATACAAGTGGAAGGTACTAAAGTGGAAACATATGGATTTGCATTATATTTAATCATTCAGTCTTTATAATAGTAAACTGTTAAAATGTACTTTTATTGTTGGTTATTCATATAATTATGATATTTGATGTAAGTACTTAATTAAATGAGCAAGTAAGTTATGTGTGCGTTTATTTTGGATTCGGACCAATTAGTATTAATTAACTACGTGAGCTGTAGGAACTTCATGAGTGCGTCGTGTATGAGCCGCGGGCTGGCGTCGCTGTCGGCCGTGTAGCGCACGCCGCGTAGCGCGCCATCCTCGTTTCTCACCACTCCATATTCGCCAACTATGAACCCATCTGGAGTTCTTTCCTCTACTCTATACTTCTTAAACTGACGCCCTTCAAGAACATATCCTACTTTACAGTTTTCCTGTTTACACTTTTCTGTGCTCGCTTCTGGTTGTACGCCGTGGCTACGTCCGTCTGTCAATACACTGATTTTTTCGTCGACCTCGTAGTTTTTCTCAGGCTGGTGCTCTAGAGTAGTCTCTTGTTGAAATGTATTAGTAACAGTACTAATTGGGGTCGTGTTTACAGTACTGCTACCAAAGGGCGTTTGAGGTTGCCTTTGCCACGGAGAGTAGTTAGGGGCTATACTTGAAGGAACGTTTTCATTGAGGTGTAAAGATGCAGGTTCACTGTAGAACTTGGACGGTTCACTATAAATTTTGGCAGGTTCACTATATATTTTGGCCGGTTCACTATATATTTTTGCTGGTTCACTGTAAACTTTAGCTGGTTCACTATAAAACTTAGCTGGCTCACTATATATTTGTGCCGGTTGGCTGTAAATTTTGGGAGGATCATAAAATTGTTTTGAATTAGCAATCACTTGACTTGAACTTATATATGAGGTACTAGGTTCATTGTCATTAGTGGTTTTGGGTGTATCGTGTACTATATTAAAACTAACTGTGGTTAATCTTGGGCTATTTTGTCCTTCGTTTAACGGTCTATTTGTCAGACCCTGAAGGTTGTTTGGGGAATGTCCTGGTAACATAGAAGCGGTCGGTGGAATGTTTTCTATTGCTTTGTTATATTTCGCGAATTCGACTGACTTTATAGACGGTTCAGCTACAGAGTCGTCACTTTGATCATTTTTATTATTAGACCTAAATGGCCCAATAGCAGTCAATAGATCTGTGTCTCTGGTTTCTTTATGATCTGTTTGTGCATCGTTAATAGTTGTAACATTCTTTACGATTTGATCATCGTTACTGCTACTTTCTGATACGTGTTCCATAGAAGGTTGAAACAATGCCGCTCTTGTTGTATCATTATATGGATTTGGTAAATAAGACTCGATTGGCGGGTTAGTGTCTGAATTTCTAAATCTTTGAATTGATCTCTGATCTTCAAATCTGTTAGCATCCGCTGTTGATGGTACTTTTCTAGCAAGTGGTACATCAAGGATACTTTCTTCGTATTCGTCTGTTTTTCTCAAGAGTTCGTCGTCATTATTGTTTTGGGTTCTAAACGGTAATACCATTGGATACATTTGACCTGAGTTGTTTTCTCTAGATTCCTTTTTTGCATTTATTTGCTTGAGATATTCTATATTAGCACCAATTAGATTTGGTGGTAGACTTGTAGTTCCTGTTTGCATCAACTCGTCAATTTTACTTACAATTTTTTGAGTTTGTGTTTCTTCGACGGAAACTTTAGGTGGATCATCTTTGAGAACAGGTTCTTTTACATTACTACTTGGATACTTATACATAGGTTTGCCACGACCGACGGCCACTGATGATGTTATTCTTACTGATATAACTTTCTCGTCCGAGGAATCAGGTAAATCTTCATACCTTGGCAATTTTGGAGGATTATTCATAGTTTCATGGTCGAGGCCGATGACGCTCAAATCGTACTGGTTTGCTACCGGTAACGATGCTGTGTAACTTGACAGGATCTGAAAATAAGAAAAGAGACTGTAAGTTGTATTTATACACTTCGTTAGATATTCTTCAATTTTTAGAAAATGCCATCAAAACAGTGAATACCTAAATGAATACCAGGAATTAATTTTGAAAAATAGTTGTCAATCTATTACAATTCTAATTCATATAAGACTAATCACAATTGTAATTTTCAGCTAGCATTTAATCCCTAATTTAAATGGGGTGCTCTGATATAAGAGTATTTAACAAATGAAAAAACTCTGTAATCTTTAAACCATTTAACCTATCTTGATCATGAAAAAGTAAATACGTAACAATCTACGTCGCAAATGACCACACCAGAATAATTTGTTAAATAAAGGTGGTAAAACTTTTTAGTTGTTATAACTACAAATACAGTAAATTAATTCATCATACATGTATCTACAACGAAATCGAAAATTAAGTTGTTCTACGAAACGAATATGTGTTAAAAGTAATTTATTATGAAATATTTAATTATTATATTATACTACTATGAAAGCATGAACCGTAACAAATAAAACATTCCGCTCTACAAACTGCATCGAGGAATGTTGGCTGGGAAAAAATGTTGTTTCCATCAAGGTAAATGAATCTGTCGATAATATACGATATGAATAAAGTTAAGTACTTGCACGACTAGCCGTCATGGACAATACTATCTAGGGCCCACGATTATAGGAAAAGAATATATTTAATACATTAATTCATCGTCCGCGACTAGTAATGCGTTACAATTCTTTATTTAGAAGCAACATAGAAAGTACACAGTGACTTCACTAGCAGAATGAACTACAGGTAAGTTAATAAAGACCCTAATATCGAGGTTTTGAGGAAATAACTTTTTAATAAGTGGTAAGTGTTTATCAATTCCTATTTAGTACCTATACGTTGTCTTAGAGGAAAATTGTTTGTTAGTAAGTATTTAACAGCGCCTGCTTGTGATTTTGAATTCATTGTAGGCTAAGGTCATTCTCATTCGTATCCGTGTCAATCGATACGAGCTGTAGAGGTTATTGAGCTCTGGAAAGGCAGTTTTTTTCTTTTACTCCCCTAGCATATGCTGCTAAGGTTTATCTCAAACTTCGCAAAATCAAATATGAATCTATTTCTATCTAAGTATTCGTGAATATTTTACGAACATTTAGTTAATAAAAGCAATGTTTACAGTAGCAAGTCCTATTTGTATGTGTGTATTGAAATTGTCCGTAAACTTACAATATAAATAAATAAATATTTATGGCTCTGAAGGCACAAGAAAATGTCAAGTTCAGTTTCTCAAAATAAATGTTGGAATATGCGGATTTATTTCACATTGTAAGCGATTTTCCATAACCATATCACACTTGGTGGTATGTACGTATTCAGATGAATTACTTATTCTGAAATGTTTTGTTCATATTAAAACCAGATCCACATATTTCGTAGGTCAACATGGCGTGGTACTGGTAACTTTTTATATTGTCAAGTATTATATTATTTCCTTCTCACGTCACGAGCTCGGTGCATGAATATATTTATCTGTTTGTTTGTTTAACTTGTCCATTAATATCATGAAATGTTTTTATTTATTTAAATTTATCAGATAGAAGGTGCTAATTATTTCTGCTAGCCAAATTCGTAAATCGTATAGCCTAAGTTTGACCTTGGGTTTTGCAAAAATAATGTACATACCAAAATGATTAATTTTCTAAGGTCATGTTACATTAGATGTGGTCTACATAGATCAAGAGATTAGTGATAGCTATTATTTAGAATGGAACCTACCTGCATTTAAAATAGATTTTAATAGGTGAATTTTATTAGAAACGCGTGTTTAATCAAAATATGCAATCTTTCAATGTCAATCATGGTATGTCCATGGTAGTTATTATTATTAAGTAATATCGACATAATTATAGAAAGGAAATTGCGAATGATCGTTACGTTCAATTGCAAAAGGTGTAAGGGCGTCTTGTTTAAACGAATGTAAGTAGGTCTACTTAAGATTAGCATTGATTCGTACATATCTACAATCTTTAGGAAGTTTGATTCATCAAAACCCAAGTGAACGCCGGCGTTCGCGTACCTATTATTATTTTGTCTTGAATTACTCCGATTGAAAGGATACATACCTATCTTACCAATCAGCATTTTTTCGATAAGTGATATAGTTAATTGGTCGACTAATAATAATTAGTGTTCACTGGCCCGAGCGGAAATTAGTGGCAAGAACAAGAGTGGTGTCTAGTTGCTGGCGGATGCGAGGACGGCGACACTGGCCCAACCGAGTCAGTCAGTGACCGCGTGGGCGTCCTTGCCAACTGCGCACCTAACTATATCAATACTCACAGATATTTTACTGCACGTTGGTAAATGTTTGGACCAATTTTATTACTTCGTAACGTAGGTACCTTCTTGTTTTCCTTAATGTTTTCTATAGTAATGATTTATAAAAATCCCTTGTAATATATTTAGGTACCTATATAACCTTTTTTATTTCTGTCACACATTCAACTATTAGGTACACTTTTTCTAAGGGAAGATTTACCAAATATATTGTTTCCGGCCTCGCAACAATACTTGTAGGTAGATATATAGATAGTAGAATACTTGTATTAAGATTCGCAAGAATTCTTATGAATCTACGGACTAGTTAAATGATTATGGGCGACAAACTCGCTACAGCTATTACTAGATACGCTACCTTCATGCCTTATGCAATGCAAAAAATTTAATAGGTAGAGTAATAAGTCATTTTTTGCGCTTCGAACGCAGCGAATTCTTTTCTATACAAAGGTAAGATAAGAGGTTATAAAAACATAAATAATAATTCGACGCTTGAAAGGAAAAATTTACTAAGCGACATGTAGCCAACTTTACAGGAGAACCATTTAAAGTATGATTTTTTAAATTTTTTATTATGTCAAATCACCTATTTATTGTATTGTCGTAGTTCCAACGAAATTTAAAAGCTGTTTAGACCCTTTATTATTTGCTATACATAGATTTCCGTTTAGCTTGCTAATTAATAAGTTGGTGTCGCTTAGTAACATTTAAATTTAAATTACAAACAGGAAAAAAATACCAACCGACAAGAAACACTTAATATAAAATAGGAAATAAGTCTTTCAAACATATTTTTTCAGACTTTGAGTGTGGAAAAAATGCCTAAACAACAATAACACGTTCTTATGATCAGAGTTAATTTACTTATGCTCCAGAAATAAGCTGCGTCCAACTGGGAATTTTTAACCAAGATGCTAATTGTAGGTAGATCTAGACCAAGCTATTTTTTATACTTTGGTTTAAAAAGATAAATATCATAGCTCCTATGTATGTTAAATTAAGACAAAATAAAACAAATTAATTTCATAATCAAATTGTTTATTTTTAACGAAAAATCGACATAAACTTACAAATTAAAAAATACGTTTTAAAATAATACCACTTTACATTAAAATATGTCGCCCGCTCTAAAAGGCTATCAAAAATATATTTCAAAAGTAAATTAGTAACAAAGTATAAAAAAATAATATAGCACTCATTGTAGCGCTTTTTACTAACTTTAACTGTAGCCACGAAGTTGGTAAATGAGGTATTCACCCGATTCGGAGTGCCCTTGGAGATGCACAGTGATCAAGGGCGGAACTTTGAATCCCAAGTTTTTCAGGAAACTTGTAAACTTTTGGGAATCCATAAGACTCGAACGACCCCTTATCATCCACAGTCAGATGGAATGGTCGAACGTTTCAACCAAACATTGGAGCGACACTTAGCAAAGGTGGTTGACAGCCATCAGAGAGATTGGGACACTTACATACCTCTCTTCTTGCTTGCCTATCGGACTGCTGTACATGAAAGTACCGCAAAGACGCCTGCATTTGCAAATTTTGGAAGGGAATTGA